CATTCAGGACCATTGAACAAAGGAACCTCGTTAAACTGCCAGACCCACTGTTCCGCCAACTTTATGCTCATCCCAAGGGTAACGGTACAAGGTTTGACTGTACATGTATAAAGTTAAAATCTTATGATTTGTGTTAAGTAGGCCTACTAAGTCATACCAGTCATTGATCGTGTAGATCAATACCAATTTACAAAGATGAAACACATTCAGTATCACTTGAAACCAGTAACAACAACTGAAATATATGAAAAAAAAACCAACACCAGAGAGTATAATATTCTGAATTTTATTTGTAAACAGGTGTAAACATAGGTCAGCCTTTCACATCGTTTGATCCCAAGTATGAACGGAAACATTTTAAAGACATTGAAAGTAAAATAAGCTGAAGATTTAAAGTTTGAGAATTCAAGCAAACATGTATAAACTGAAGGATTTCTGAACTGAATCAAAGGTATTCAAAACAGCTGGCAGCATGTCTCAATACAAAACAAACATCTTATCTTAACTCACTTGCGACTGGGCCCTTTCACCAGTCACAAGCGTTGAAGACTGGCGTTTTTGGGGGTATTTCAATAAATCACCACAACTCTCAGAATTACCCTATTGTAATCATTTTTTGACACAGTAAAGTAACATTCAAGCTTAATCTAATACAAAAAACTAAAGTTGTCTAAGTCTAATACTTTAATTTGTATGATTTTTTAAAAATTGGCATGAATTTGATTTTCCGAAAAATTTCCAGAGAAGTGACAAGTAGAATGAAATTCACTGCAACAACAAAAATAAAAGTTCAAAGTGTTCTGGTTTGATTTGTATACATGTGCCAGTGTTTGGTGAAAATATAAAAGCTGGTCTGTGCATTGATTCAGACCCATACACTGAATTACATGAGACAGATGTACGGCACGACGTTGTGATTTCGTTGCGCGAAAAACAACACCGGTACTAGTGCTAAATCTAGCCCTAGAATTACGACTCGGGCCGTGTTCGGGTAGGGCCTACATATCCAGGATCCTAACAATTAGACACATCATATTCTGAGACACTAGAACTAGTAAAACGCACAGAAGTATAGAAAACGGCTAAATTATGTGATTCTTGTTCATGCGACTTCTTCGACCGTTACTACGATGCGACTGTCGGATTACTATCAGCTGTATAGAAAAAAACAAAGCGCGAGTTCCGGTCTGTTCAACCCCAGTTGGGGCCACTGTCCTTCGCCTTCAATAACTTAAAAACTACCGGCCCCTGAGATACGAAATGAAGTCTAAGTAGCTCAGGCTTGGCCAAACAAGGGTACGAGGCGGGTCTCGCGATCCGTGCGTGATTTGTAGAGCGAAAAAAAAATTCCAAAGTTGGTCACGCAGGGCTTGTGAGACCCGTCGCGAGCGTCGCGGCGGGGGTCACGCAACTGTTGTGTGACCCGTCTGAAGTGAGTTAATATGATTTACTGGTACTTGATATAAATGCATGATGGACCTAAAGCCTTAGACTTAGAGGTGCACTTACAATTTGCAACTAAAGACTAAAGTACCGGTACAGAAACAGAAACTCTGTTCATGACAACCATTATGAAAATAATGTTGGGCAGAAAGTTGAGAAAGAAAAGAACAGTGTCAAGGAAAGCAGAAACACATTAGGACAAATCATTTTCGTTCAGTAGCATGGCATATATCATATATAGTCCAAAAGCTGACGAACAAAAACATAAATGAAAGACAAAAAAATAAACTGCATTCAAAAGAGGCAGTCTCCAGCCTGGACCACAAAAGAAAAGGGCATTTTTGACATCACATACAACAAGTTAATCCAAAATCAACATACATAAAGCTTTTCTAAAAATTCAACATAAATAATACCTGAATAATATTTCTATATTAATACAACAAGATATGTTAAAATTCACACACATGGTCAACTTGTCTGCTCTGTTTTTTCTTTTATCCATGAATCCAATATTTTGTCCATTCCTTCAAACTTGTAGTAAGCTTCAAACTTTTTCCCATTTAGCATGTGGGGAAACCAGTACTCGTCATCTGGCCACATCTCACCAAAAGGAACCTCCTTTTCACCATACCACTGAGGTCTCATTTCTGGAGTAAAAAACCAAACATCAATTTAATTATGTAACAATGAAACAGAGAGTACAATATACCAGATTTTTATCGTGCAACTTGAACTCACAATTTTCAAAGAACTGCAAGCTGATCATGAAATGTTAAAAGGGGCATTACTGCACTGGAACATATGAAGTGGGCAACTAAAATTGTGAAGGCAGCCAATTGTGAATTCAAAACATTTTTGGGAAAGACGAAATGGGCAAAACATTTTTTAAAAGAGTGCACGAAAAAACCCCAGTGTACATTACATAAGATACCTCATGCACTGTTTACATTCTATCAAAGGTTACTCTAACAGAAAATTAAAACTGGCGTCTATGGTGTAGGGGTTAGGTGTTCCACCATTGCAAACAGAGGATTCAAGTATAATTCCCAAATGGGTAGAATTTTCATTGAATGTCTCTGTCTTGCTGCTGGGATGTTGTATCCCTCAGCCCTGGTTGGCCCTGACTGGAAGGGTCAAAGCAGCCCAAATCCTAAATGATCTAAATAGTGTCAATCAGAGTATAAAACTTCTACGAGTCACAATCATAAGGTGCCAGATCTGAAAAAGACATCTGTGATCAGGAATCACGGTTTTTCAATTCACTTCTCTGCCTGGATGCTCCCATAAAATTTATACATTATCCTGGTGTTTCCACATCACCCATCTGTTCGAATTTTTCAAATAAGTTTCTGTGGGTCTACCCTTTCCTTCCTTGCTTTCTATTTTTCCAGTGAGAGCAAAGCCTTTATATGTCGATTCAAGTGTCCTAGAGAAATTGCATTGTCACTTCCTAAATGCTCTTCTCAGTGAGCGGGCCATGTGTGCATCTTTCTTCTATAATTACAAATATATATATGTATTTTACGAAAATCAAAGATGAGGAGCAAGCACAAGATTTAGGGGAAAATTGACTTTGACTTTTGCATTGCCAAGATGGATGAGATCTATACTAATTGTGAAGTTTTACAAGCTACGGGTTGATGAGTTGGAAGGAATAGAAAGCTGACTGACTGAAAGGAACGATACTCTATTGAAAACACTGTCAAAATCAAGATTTATAAGTACATGTTATATCAAAGACGGTACACTACAAGATGGTAGGCCTATACAGTCTAGAAAAAGCTTCCTAAAAAATCTATGCTCGTCTTTGAAAATCTAAAAAAAAAAAATGTCTTCATTCGTGTCTTTAATGGAAATTCTTTATGAACTATCTTAGCTCCTACCCTTTGTGCGCTGTTTTTAAAAAATAAGCTATAATACAGACATACCACCGTGCGTAATTTTTAGGGGTTTCCCCCCCACTATCAGTATCACAAATAAATACAGGAGGGAACCAGTAGAAAATTATCTTTAGTAACACTAATTAACCAACACAAAAACATATTTTGTTTCCAATAAATCAAGCCAATCAGGGAATAAACTAGGCATGGCAAAAGTAGTTAGAGAGAGAGAGAGAGAGAGAGAGAGAGAGAGAGAGAGAGAGAGAGAGAGAGAGAGAGAGAGAGAGAGAGAGAGAGAGAGAGAACGAGAGGGAGAGAGAGAGAGGGAGGGAGAGGGAGAAGGAGAAAGAGAGGGAGAGGGGGAGAAGGAGAGAGAGAGAGAGAGAGAGAGAGAGAGGGAGAGGGAGAGGGAGAGGGAGAGAGAGAGAGAGAGAGAGAGAGAGAGAGAGAGAGAGAGAGAGAGAGAGAGAGAGAGAGAGATTGGTGTCACCCAACAGATATCTCTGTGGCGCAGTTTCAATAGAGTGGAGCCATAAATGTGGACAACAATAAATTAAATCACCATGATCATAGTTTTATACCGATTCCTACTTCTAGTCTCTACGTTCAGTCTTTTGTTTTTGTAAATTGTTTACACCGCTCCCAACTTAACTGCATAAGGTCATACGAGCGCGCGGGACACATTAAACATTTTCAGTTTGGTAGGAATTAATTTTGAATTTTGCCCATGTGGCGGCCGAAGCCTACTCTTATTAATTTTGGACCACCAAAGAATCTTTAGGTGTGCAACGTGGACACGAGATCTCCGAGATTTTTTCGTCCTTTTATCCGAGAGAGCTAAGTGTTAGATCTTACATACTAACCATAAGGTCAGGAGTGAGGCTGAAAGTCAGCAAGGAGCCAAGGAGTAGAAGTAGAAAGGCTGCAGAAAGTGTCAGGAGCCCAGAGGAAGGGCCAAAGGGTGGTAGGGGACAGAAAGTGGAGACAAAAGCAGACAACAGAACATAGAGATCAGGAAAAAGGTGAAAGAAGAACATTTTAGAGAAGAATTTTTTCCGTCCCTGTCGGGTTCCAAACTTGGGACCTATTGAACAAGAGGCAAACACCGCAACCTCTAGACCACGAGAGCCTCCTACCTTCAGTCTCTACTGGACTGTTCATGTAGTCCCATGTGTCAAATACATGAACCTCCAGGATAACAGGGTCACCAACAAATTCAAAGTTAATGAGTCCAACTTCATTCAGAGACTTGGCTGTGACACCACATTCTTCCAGCAGTTCTCTGAAAACAAAATTGAAAAAAAAAAAAAAGAAAAAAAAAGAAGAAGGAAATTCAACATTTTTGGGGGCTTTTACTTTACATATTTAAATGAAGTACATATCAGCATACTGACTAAACTAATAACACACTTCCGAGCAGAAAGCTAGCAGCTGTTTTCGAGTAAACATCTGTGTGGGAAATGGTGGTGGTGGTGGTGGCGGGGGGTGTTGAGAATGTATGGGTACCTATGAAAAAAGAGGAGGAGGGAGGGGGAGAGGGAAAGGATGATTGCTGTTGCTAAGCTTTTAGTCTACGGTTTGTGCATGAGATAGACTCACATTATCATGTGTGACATCATCTAAAAGCAGAGATGTCCGCCTCCGCCTCTCAGTCTCATCAACTCTCTCAAATATGTGCATGAAAAACCTCTTTGAGTATTACGGCAAGTGTTCAACGGTCAATGTGGTTTGTTCACACTTCTCTTGTAGCTGGGTTAAGACAAAATGTGCCTAGATTTTGACTTAGTTAAAGTTTTTTTGTTCAATTGTTCGGGGTTTCTACGAAAATGGTCAAAGTTATCAGGACGTCCGGATAGCCAAGGTCCTGTTATGATGATATACTGAACGAATCTAGTCTTGACAGGATAAGCATCCAACAAACTGCTGGCTGGTGTAGTGCAGTTGACCAGTTGGGAACAAACTCACAAATATGGATGAAGCTAAAAGTTTGAATTACCAGTGTGTCCTTCAAGGAATATTTCTTCTTTAGCAAAGTACTGTATATATTGAATAAAAGCTCTACCATCAAAATAAAATGTCCTGTGTCTAGAAAAGCATTAAATTAAACCTAAACTCAGAGAAACACTAAGAGAAGCAGTCATACAGAGGTAGGGGATGGGGTGGGGTGGGGGGATAAATGTTCAAGGCGTTATATGTTATTGTTAGTAGAGATGCAAATGAATCACCATCATTACGGTACACCTCCCCCCCCACCCACTCACACACACTTCTGAACAGTGAAAGGTTAGACACAGATCTACCCAATGAGTTGCATGCTGGTCTGTTGAGTGTTGAGCCAAATGTTGAGGGGGGGGCGGCTATACACAGCAATGCAACTTGCTTTGCAAACAATACATCAGTGGGTATATATTATATATCTATTTGACAGAGGCATGAGCATGTATTTGAATGAATCTGCCTTCTTACCCTTCATTTTCAACATTAGCCACAGCCTAGAGAGCACATCAATGAAAAGAAAAGGCCACCTGTTCAGATCCAAACTACCTGTGGCACTCAATAGCTAAGCTTACAACGTTTGTCCCAGAAACCTTCAAACAGCAGCAAAGGGACGAAAATGACTTTTGTTTGGGGTGAATCCAGCAATACCCCAAGCTCTCTGTCAACTTTTAAAAACCATGAATGAAATGATAAGAGCAGCCATAGACCAAGAAATGCACAACTGAACAGAAGATGAAAACAGTACTTGAAGATGTTGATGAAGCACTTCTATCAAATACTGATGTGGTTCACGCTAAAAGATTAAAAAGTTATATTGATCAGGGGCTGTGCCAAGGGAAGCATCCACTCATGAATAGAAAAGGTATTATGATACAACAGACAATAATATAATAAAGAGTAAGAGAAAATGAAACAGAATCAAACCTCTTTGCACCATCTGTGATGGATTCTCCCTTTTCAACTTTTCCTCCAAAGCCATTCCATCGACCTTGACCAAATCCTCTCTTTTTCATTCCAAGTAATATCCTCCCAGGTTCTCGTACAAAGACAAGAGTTAACACCTTCTTCATGGCCATCTGTAATTCAAAAGGAGTATCATTCCCCATTAAAAATTTAGAAGGAAAAAGCGCAGCAGGATCTTGTACAACAAAATAGTAAAAACAGAAGGGCAGGCCATAGTGAGAAGTGTACCAGTTTTTAAATGTATCATTTCAGTTGTTCTTCATCTTCTAGTGCCAGGTCTGAAATAACATTGGCAATCATATCCAACCATTCATTTCTGCTTTAAAAAAAAATCTCTATATATATCTCTATACAGTCAAACCTGCCCTGACGGCCACCTCTATAAGACGACCACCTGTACAAACGGCCACTTTCCATTTCCCCCCTTGCGTTTTTTCGATATAAAATTTAACTGTGTAAAACGGGCACCTGTCCAACACCACACCGTATTTTACACACAACCCCTATCACACCAAGCAATAACACCTATCTTAGACGGTCACCTTCGTGACTCCATTACATTTTGTCATAAATCATGCATTGGCCCCTGGCGTTGTGGGCAAGCCATCATAATTCAATCACATGTCGTTATAATTGTAAGGTAGTCCCTCCAACTGATCATGTTGCGTAGGCCCCTCCCACTGTTGACCAATAGAGGTAACAAATGTTCCGCTGCTGGTGACGTAAGGGTGTGATCCCTCACAACCCATAAGCCCCGCCCAAAACTCATACACAAATCGTGAGATGAATGGTCACTGTTTACCCAGTCTGTAACAAAGTAACAGTGGACGTCAACGTGAACTTGTGACAGAAGCGTCGCTTGTTCTCCGAGTGGTGGCGACCCATGTGTTTGTTTTACCATAGCACGATCAGTCCTCCTTGTCTGACACATTTCATTTTATTGTCACCCTTGCACAAAAGCAGCAACAAAAGAAAGAAAAAACCCAGCGAAAACAACAACAACAATGCGGCTACCTTCTGTTGAGAACTCAGAAAGGAATGTTTTTTTTAAAATCTTGATCAGTCCTGCCTAAGATGGCCACCTGTCTATTTATGCGGCCACTTTTCTCAATGACAATGGGTGGCCGTCTTACACAGGTCTGACTAATATTATAATAAGTGAAAGTTCATCACTTTGGTTGCCTAAAACTTCTGAACCACTTAACTCGAATTTGAAAAAATTAATGGTGGTTCAGAATTATTAAAAGGGTGAACAGTATTAAAGTGAAAAGAAGAGTATGAAGTCACTGTAGTTTAATTTTCAGTTTTTCATTAGTTTCGTTTAAATCTAATCTTGGGAAAGTCCATCTTCTAAGACATCATTGCAAACAAGTGAGGCTTCTAAAAATATTTCCATTCACAAGCAGTGCACACTGATTCCACAATGACTTGACGATCGATTCTTTTGAGTCCATTCATTGAACAGGTACCCAGCTTAGATCAGTCTTTTCTCATCACCCATCTGTTCTGAAACTGAAAGTTCAAAGTTACTCTTGTACTCTGACTTTGTTGCCTTTTTTATGTATACATATATATATATATATATATATATATAATGTGAATTGGTTTCAGAAAAATGGAACCTGCAGGGGTTACCTCTCTACAGTTTGGTTAGCTGTACTAACGGCCTGTGTTCTGTAAAAACCTTGAGTTTTTCCAACATATTTATGCTGTCCATTATAATATATAAACGAAGTGACTATTTCTCCGAACGTTCGGAGAAATAGTGCCGATCTTTATTTCTCCGAACGGTTTTCGGCTTCCGGTCTCGTGATTTTTTGCCTATTTATTGCGAGAGTTCGGCGCCAACTTTCATTCTGCCTCTGCCTCTGGTCTGGGAAGGAACACGTACCGCATGGCAAGCCCGCCTACAGACAACCTTCAGTAACACCCACCACACACCCACCACCATCATGCACATGTACACACACTAACTAAACATAACTAGTGGGCAACTTTTGAACGTATGACGAGCTGAACTGTGGATGGAGAGACAGTGTGAGTGAAAGAGCGGGTGAAAGGAAGAATGTGCGAGTGTATCCACAGGCGACAGCAACTAAAAGACGACGACACTGACCACCCCTGGCCTGGTCCACAGCTCACGAACAAAAGGAATGCAGCTCAGGCGGTGTTTTGCCTATATTATTGTCCATGGTTCGCAGGGAACAAGTGAGATTTTCTTTGTGTGTGCCTGGAGGGATGGGGTGGGGTATGAAAGTCATGCGGACGGGGATGAGCCGCGGGAGAGAACACGGGAATTGAATGAAAGAGTGAAACTGAAAGAGACGAATGACTCATGAGTCCTGGAGTGAATGGATCCTGTGTTTCTATTTTTGTATACTTTGAACTGTTACTGAAAAAAGGCTGAAATAAAGCCCGAAAAACAAACAAACACACACACACACTCCTCACTCTCCACTTACTACCACACACAGACACACTCAAACACTCACACATACATACACACACACACACACACACACACACACAGGAGCAAATTTTTGGGTCTATATCTATTTAAATTTTCAACAGCTAGTCTAGATGAGATTTTTAGATGAGTGTAAAAACGTGAAAAAGAAAGGTTTCATAACAGAAAGAAATCAAAATTAGAACAGCCCATAAACAACAACAAACATTAACAAATAAGGGCGTGTGTCCACCTGTCCGAAGAAGATTGGCAGTTTTAACCCTAAATGTGCGTAATTTTTTAAAAAAAGTACAGGATATTACATGTAAATTATGGAATCACACACATTAAGGGGCTTGCCAGTGTCAGTACATTGGTCGCAGCAGTGACAAACGCAGATGCCAGTTCTATGTGTAGTTATCAATAACCCTCCGTAGATCTAGATCTAGACAGCACACGAGTGAACACAACACATTACGTTTAAAAGCAGCACCTTTCATAGGCAACACGTCATATCTATAGCGAAAAACTGTTTGGAATTGTAGCATTTCTTTATATAAATATTTACGGCGGACATTTTTTGGACCGATTGAACCATATTGTATACGAACAATCTTTGGTAGGCCCATACTATAATTATAGATCTATATAATATCCGAAATTTGGGGGAAAGGATGATATTTCAGAGTGTTCGGAGAAATAGTGCCCAGCTTTATTTTCCTGAACGTTCAGAGAAATAGTGCCCAGCTTTATTTTCCCGAACGTTCGGAGAAATAGTGCCCAGCTTTATTTTCCCGAACGTTCGGAGAAATAGTGCCATATGGTCCCTATCCAAAGAGGCCCTGGTTAGTCATTTTAGTGACAAGTCGGCTTCATCAATATTATAAGGAACCAGCTGGGCTTCTGCAGGGGCAGTAGGCCTACCTACTAAACAAGAGGAGGCATGGGCAGGATTTCGTGTAGTAGTTAGTGTAGTTGTGTTTACCCAGGCCAATGATGTGCAAGTGTCCAAAGAACTGAGAACACTGATGCTGCTCACACCTTAAAGGACTGATAGTCATAAAACATTGCTTTTGAAGTCAGTACTTCACGTAGTTATATGCCACTAATGACAGGCAGAGTGGTATCTGTCTCACAGTGGCCACACTAATTTTTTTTTGCTCATTTGTTTTCTCTTGTTAAATCGAAAGTTGTTGGCAGGCGGCTGGCAGGCTACTTTCTTTTTCGATTTTTACGTTTCTCTTTTATTAAGAATTTTACTTTTACGAATCTAACACAAGATGGCTTTTATTTACTTACTGTCAATGAGTTAGTTATTAAAACAATTATGCATCAAATCTAAAACATAGATTATTATCTCTTGATTCTGAGTCTGTTACAATTACTGATGACTGATGACTTGATGACATTAATTTGTCTCGAAGCGCTTTTTCATTTTCTTGATGCCTTTCTTTCTTGATTTCTTCCGTGGAGAGAGCTCTTTCCATACTCTCGATCCATGCGCTGGGAGGATGAAGATTTCCGGTTCTTTCCGGAAGTGAACAAACACTAGATCCTCTGGTCAAGATGCCGATGACTAGTTTTTTTCAGGTAGAATGACAGACAAATATTTTTTGTGCTGAGCTAGCTATGTTTCAGGTGTATTGAATAACTTCAAATTAAGAGTGAATGCTTATCCAGGTAGCATGCAAGCCTAAGTTTCACCACAGTGCGCCAGTCTCTGAATAATGGTAAAGAATAAGAATGAAGCTGGCACTCAATTTCAATCTCACTCAGAGTCAACTCATTACGGTTCATTACCAATCAGTGGGACTAGTGACAATATAGTGTCTTTTCTGTGATATGTTGGTTTTAAAAAAGTGAAATAGTTTTGTAGGCTAGCCTATATCTACATCTTTTTCCATTAAATAAACTTATAGAAGATGAGCAGTTGTGATATGTTTGGAAATCCATGCTTCTCTGAGTCTTGCAAGGCAGGCCTAGCAGTAGATCTAGCTAGATTCTAGATTAGTATAGAGGCTATAGCCATAGGAGGAGTATAGTGGCAGTGGTGTTGGCCTCTCACCCTCACTGGGTGAACACTCGGCTCTGTGTCACCCTGTTTCCCTACTTGAAGTTGAAGCATATCTGTGAATGAGCATTGTTATTATGACATGAAAATGATGTTTATGTTTAAAGCTTACACAATACTAATACCGTCAAAGGAAGCGTCAATGATGCAGTTAAAAGTTTACTTTGTAAATTTTATCCAGAATCTATACTGAAAGCTACTTTGAATTTGTTTTAATTTGCAAAGGTGTTGAACTGAGGGTAGGCCTTCTTCCTTTTCCCTTTGGAAGCAATAATCTGGAATATTTTAGGCGATAGCGGAAATGGATGGACCTCAGTTACGAGCGACCACCCCAACAAACACAATTTAAGATGCCTAACCTTAACCTTACCCCTAGCCCTCTGTCTATTGTACTCTGTCTCATTGTGGTCGCTCGTATCGGAAGTCCTCCATCCAAAATACTTTTATGACTCATTTTTTCGTAACATGTTCAACATTTATGCAGGTTTTTCTTTACGATCATTAGGCCTACTGTGCAACTCAGATTCAATGAAAGGAGCTGGATTCCCCGATTTTTTCGTTCATAAAAATCGATGAAAATAACTCTGATTCAACAAACACATAAATTAGCTGGCACGGATTCAACGAAGTCGCTTACAGTGTGAACTTCAGCTCCCACTGATGTGGCTTTGCTCATTTTTCTCCCGCAACGAACCATATCTATTCTTGGAAACCATCCATAGTACTGCTTCATGAACCATTGTTTGCTTACCTATTTTTTATAACTTATGCGACCAATCAGCAGCCTTTTTTCATACTAATACACATGTTGTTAAAACGTCTTAGCATGTGTTGGGAGTCGAACGGGCGGCGAGCACAAGTTTGGCATGTGACTGTGTTTGCGTGTGTCTAGGGAGAGGGGGCACAAGCGGTCCGAGCGTGCCGTTAAGATACAAACACATCGCTGTTTTTCCCCCGGCTGCAGATCAATACTACAATGATAAGCTAGTCTTGACATATATCTACGTAATGATTTGCGCGTTGGACTGTGGAATCAAATGTTGCCGTATGCTAGGCTCTACACAGCAACATATCTTGTTCGGCAATCAGTACGTTATAGCAGATGATGGATAGCACTGCAATTGAACGAATAAGCCCTTTTGCACAGTGTGTGTTTGGTCGTGTTCACAGAAACGAAAATGGCTCTCATTTAAAGCCAAACTACTTTTGGTTGAGAAAGTCGAATACACATTACATATGTATGACTAACTCAGTGCTTGTAATTATCTGCAGAAAACCCTTATGTTTGCTATAAAGAACACTCTGATTCAACAAAATTGAAGGTCAGGCCTAGCGACTTCGTTGAATCCGAGTTCCACTGTATTTAGCAAAGCAATGCCAATGAAAATTTAATTTTTCCCCTTAGCCCTTTTTTATTTTGTTCTATTCTAAGGATTATGCGTTTTGAATTTTAAAAATCGGTTCATAAATTTAAAAAAGTTATGAGGTTGTTATGGTTTGCAAAATATGGATGACCCACGTACAGGAAAATACTCCTAAAAGTGGACCAGGCAATAGCAGATTCTGTAAGAAAATTGACGATATCTCAGAAATGAATTGGACTGTTAGAAAGAAACTTGGCTACCCGATGTGTTTTTGGGTGGAGAAATCATTTCTGCAGTCAGATTTACTAACCATTTAGTAATTATTTTGTTGTTATTAAAATTTTTGTGTATATATTCTGTTTTTTTCTAAAAAGGGGTTTCGGGATGAGAGCATTTTATTTATAGCATCGTGTCACAACATAGAATCTTTAAGAATATGTTGGCAGCATGACCAAATAATGGCAAAGCTTTCTTTGATGACTTCAGACCATGCCAACCTTAAAATATAAGTTAATTCAATGTAGCATGCGGTACAATTAAAAACTTTTTTCCCCTGTTGAGAAGCGAACACCCCGAGGCGAGCTCGCCTCAGAATACCCCCGTTGCGATGTTACAGGAGAACAGAGAGAAAAACAACTGGATGCGCGCGCCCGCCATTGCCCTATTTCAAGTGACCAATGAACGGGCTCAGAAAAATCATGCGGGGATTTGTAGGTCACATACATTTGCCGATGGAGTGAGGGGAAAATGACTGGTCTCCGTGCGAAGCCGCTTTGGGTAGGGGGGTAGTCATGCATTTATGATCGGGTCTAAACAACTACTTGACACAGAACATTCAAATTTGAGGACACTATAGAGGAAAGATAGATCTCTTACCATCTCGACGTTGAAATTCCAACTTCTGATAGTTTTTGGTATACCCGATACGAAAGTGTTCCCGACACCAAAAGACAGGTTAGTTTATGTGTACGAACTTCAACGTACGCATATCAGCCCTATTTTTTAAATATTTGCCAAGTTTCATTTCACGTTGGTCAAGAAATAGTAGGTACCGCACACTGTCACGGAGACCAAAACCCATATTTTTACCCTCCTAAAACACTGTGTGATCATGCATACACACAGACACTTGATATATCAGAAGAAAGAGGAGCTTTTCCTCTTTTTAGTGGTATTATTCATTTGAATCAACGATTCTTTTGAAAGCAAAATCTTGTAAGCTAAAAGACAACACCATCGAGGTTTTCACTGTAGCGGCCGCGCGTTTCATGTATTGATTTTTAGAGTGACCTCGGTTGAACAGGAACGGGGAGCGTATGGTATTAAATGCTGCAATCTGATTGGTTGATATTTCAAGATGAGAATAAGCTCTTTCCGGTGATATATTTCTAAAGACTGTCCTTAAAGAATTCATAGGAGAGATTTGCGTGTAAAAACTTTCGATGCTGTTTTTTTTATGGAACCAGTGATCGGACTGACTACGGAAATATATCGGCAGAAAGTCTATTTATTCCTCTTCAAGAATAACACAGCCATTATACGCAAATAAATACCGGATGCTCCCCGTCAGCTCGCAAGCAGGGCACCATCGCCCTGGTTTCGTATAAATTCTTTCTCATTCTCATCAGCGCGCGCAGCCGAGAAGCTGGTGGTCGCGAGTGGCGATTTTAACCTCCCCTTGTATTTCTTGCCATTTTGGTCAAAAAGCCATGTTTACGTCAATTAATTTCCATCCTATGGTTATATGATAGCCCTGAAAAAAATTGGGCTTGTTCTCTATGTGCATGGGTGTGCGTTTACACGTTTTTGTGAATGTCCATTCAAATTTAAGAATGTTATGGCATCTCAAAGTGCAGACATTTCGCAATTTTAATAATATAGCATTTTTCTGTAACTTCAGATGTTCATAACTTTGTTAAAAATGAAGCTATATGTATAAATTTGGTATTAAAATGCTCAGAATGATAAATTCTATAAGGTGGTTCTGTTAACTATGAAATCAGAGGACTTTGAAATTTCAGTTTGTGGTACCTAGAAATAGAGTAGGCTGAGGTTGAGAAAGTTAGTCACTTGCGTTCTGACCCGGTCCAAAAATTCCCCTGCAAACGGGGACCAAATTTTCGCTGCGCGCGGAAGCCCAATGGGCATTGTTACTGTATTAGTCCTTTTTTATGAGTCAGATATATAATGACTGGACTGCTAACTTTTCAGCAATTTCTGTTTTGGCCCCAAGAGTAGGCCTATATACCGGAATATCGATGATGATTTTGTGGGTTCAGGGTAGGATTTTAGGATAGTAGCAGTAATCGTTGGGGCCGAACCTGGACAATCCCAACTTTTCCTGCCAACTAAAACCAAGCCTACGGTAAAATATCAATCACAATCGTCATCCGGTCCGTTTTTGTATGAGCAGGAGTGTAGTACATTGTCGCAGAAAAAAACTTTTTCTAGCAGCTTCTATCTAGCTCTTTATTATTTCCATCCATAATTCTCTCAAAAGTATAACTTCTGCTGTTTCAAATTGTGAACTGCTATATGAAGCAGTTGAAATATGAAACCAGCTGTCATCAGAAATTCTCTTGTAATATAAAACACATTTTAGGCTACTGTAGACAAAACTATATTGAATTGATGCTTTCTTTTGAACTGTACTGGCTTGTGTTGATTCTGATTTTTTATTCGTTTGGTGTAATATATTTCATTCAGGCTTCAGCGTTGGAGCCAATGCAAGTTGATGTTGTGGAGGAAAACCAGAATGTTGAGGAAGAGCAAAATTACTTAGTAGAAAATGCTTCAATTGTGAGTATTTAGTGTTGTTGACATGAGTTTTGATTTATTATACTCCTGCCTTTTTTCATTAACTTTTTTTCCCGTTTTGACTGCATATGGGTGTGGCTTGCTTGGAATTTTAAAAAATGTGGATTATATTTGACACCGTGCTCTATGTTTGTGTCTCTTAGTTATATTTGTATTTTTGTTTCTACTTAATAAGTTGTGGAAATTTATGTTTTTCCTCTTGAAAAAACTTGTAATCTATGCGCATTTTGCTTTTGTTTAAAGTTGTAACAAGTAAGCACCTGCATTTGGTGTAAGAATGCAAAAGTGTGAAAAAAAAACCAAGTGACTCAATTTAGGTACTTTGCTTTTAAGTTTTTTTTACCCCCTCTCTGTCTCTAATACAAATACAACATCAATGGTATACATTCAAGCATAATCTCTCGATAATCTTTTTCTGAAGGGTGTTTATGTCACCAAAATAACACTGTAATGCATCTGCGAAATGACTTTCAACAAAGTATTTTAGCAGACATATTGCAAGTTAGTCATCCTGGTGAAATCAGGTGCTGGTCAAGATAATGAAATCGTAGAAACCAACTTTTTTTCTGTCTTTTGGGGCATTTTTATTGAATTCTTTTTTTATGGGCTCAACTTATATTATGTACATGATATAAAAAAAACATTCTTGCGTGGATTTTAGTGAAAAATGTTGATCAAAGTCACAAAAAACATAAATTTGCAGTTTCCAAGGACACTCACGCTTCCGAAGTCACCAAATTTTGGTGGCCATTTTCTTGCTAATTTTAAGTGATCCCTACCTCCTTCAACTGCAAATATCCTGAGTTTTTGTTAAAGAAACATGGGTATTTTTTCCACCGAAAGTAAGACAAATGAACAGGCTTTAAGGTTTTATGCATATAACTCTGTATGCCCCAAAATTGACATGCGCCTGATTCCTCCGCGTCGTGATACAAATGATCTAGAATGTTGGTTGATGATAGCCATGTTAAGGGTTCTTGTATAACCTTTTTTACCCTGTATATGGGTTAACTGCACTAGAGAATGTATTATAGAATTTTAGGCACTGGCAGGCTCCTTTTGTTACTAGTGGTTCAAGAGTACAGTAACAACTTGTGTTTGATGACTTTGTGGTTGTCATTTTTTGAATTTGTGCTTCAGGGTCGTTTATACATTGATTTTATTGTGTTTCAGGACCTTGAGCATTATGCATCCCAGTTCACAGGACTGGCCAGGTTGAACAGACTTCTGTTTATCGCAGAGCACTGCAACTCTCTGAAAGTTGAAGCCCTGCGGATGGCTTTGAACTACACGATGAAGACCACTTTCAATACCACACTGTACCAGCTTATTCATCACAAGCTTGAAATTGCAACCTCAGGGTAAGTGAAAGCTCATCAAGTTTGCAGAATAAGTTATCACGAGAAGTGAGTTTCAAATATAGTTTTAAGTGTACAATGGGTTTTTATAAGTTGAAAAAAAAAACTCACACAGAAAAATGAGCACCTTCATGTGTGCGACTGACACACTGCTCATTTGCAGGCATGTTCTACTATGTTTTGATTTTCAGAAAATAATAAGTTTCATGAAGTAATACTACGGCTGCATCTGTCATTGTCTCTTTCCACTCAACCTGTTTTCAAATGGTTGTCATGATTGGAGTTTGAATGTCTTTTATGATTTTTACAGATCAAGGGGAGGGGCAAGCAGCAGTGGTCAAAATAATCTTCCAGATGTTGCCTCTGCCATCAACTCTGTGGATACCCAGTGGGTAGAAGTGACATCAAAGAAAGCTGCCCTGAAATTAGAAAAGCTGGACACAGATTTGAAAAATTACAAGAGCAACAGTATAAAAGAAAGCATCAGGTTTGATTTATCTTTTTTTATTATGTCTTTCATTGTAAATTCTGTTGATTTATATTTTTTTTCAAAACTTGGAAACTACACATTTTTGGGGGACATAATGTCTTAAAAAGATAAATGGTACTCATGCCAAAATTGTCATTTCAACCTATTATGTTTGTTTTCCTTTTTGTTTTTTTGTTTTTTTGTCTTTTGTGCTCATGAGCTCATCCTTTTTCCTCCCAGATAATGAAATTGTGCGTTCACTTTTTAAAGTACAAAATGAAATAAACCTTACGCTTCTTAACATATCCTTATATGTTTTCAGCATTTGTGAACCTTACTTTGTCTCTGTGATTTTTTCGCTTAAAATGTGGAAAGTGAAATCGCATTGTATCTTAATCTGTGCTACCTTTTTTTTCCCCCCTCAGACGAGGCCATGATGATTTAGGAGACCATTATTTAGACTGTGGTGATCTCAGCAATGCTCTTAAATGTTACTCACGTGCAAGGGACTATTGCACTAGCCCCAAGCATGTGGTGAATATGTGCCTCAATGTCATCAAAGTAAGTCTTTTTCTTTAATGTTTGGAATAGAATTTCATTTTTTTGTTTGTATGTATTTGAAGAGTTGATCATATCTCTTTGCTTATGATTAAATTGTGTTCATTTTGGGAGACAAGCTTTTTTTGAATTCTTCAGAGAATTTGACAATGGATGCTCATACATCCTTTGAACTTTATAGAAAGCACTTTGGTTATGGTGCATATTTATAGCAGCAAATTTTTGTTCAGTTTATGTTGGTCAATGCAAAGTTGATACCTCACTTGAAATGTGTGTTCATTTCAAAGACAGAAATGTCAGTTTCATAGCTTAATATTTATCTGCATATTATTCACAATTATTTTATAGACAGCGAAAGATCTTGTCAGTTTGTTAATGTTTGAGCGCTTAATCAGCTGCTTGCACTGTATGCTTCCCGGGAAGCTGAGAATGTTTCGGAGTGTTCTGTGGTCTGCTCGGGTAATAATATAGTGTAAAGCGCATAGAGCCTGCTGTTGAGCGGGGATATGCGCTATACAAATGCTATTTATTATTATTATTATTATATCTTATGCATCTGCCACTGTTCAAAGTTAATGCAGCTGTTAGAAGGGCAATTAAGGGAGAACTTCTCAGATGTGTGTGTGTTTTTACCTCCCAGTTGATAGATAAAAGAAAAGTATTAGCAGGGGATGACTTCAGTTCAAGGGAAAGGACTAAACTCAGTATGATGTGATGCCATGCTTTGTGAATGTAAAAAGCGTTATAACTTAGAATTCTTTAAAAAATTATTTTTCAGGTCAGTGTTTACCTTCAAAACTGGTCCCATGTACAGAGTTATGTCAACAAAGCAGAAGTCACGCCAGATGTAAGTTTTGATGGTGTTGGTTGGCGGGTGCTGTGGTGTGGTTTGCTCCTTCTTTCCCATCAAAGCATTTATTGTCCTTATTTCTCCCCTTTCTTTTTTGGGGGGTTTGTTACTCTCTTGTAACACCTCTAATCTTCGTCATTTATATGATCTAATTGTGACTTAAAATGCTTCATAAAACAAAAAAGTGGGCGGTTAGCGGGAGCTCCTGTGTGGTTTGCTCCTTCTTTCCTATCAGACATCTATTGTCCTTATCTCCCCCTTCTTCTTTTTTATGTTTGTTACTCTCTTGTAACACCTCTAATCTTCTGGCGCTCATATGACCGTATGCAAGTTGCAAGCGCCGTAAAACTTCTTCTAAAACTAAATTTAAAAAAACAACAAAAAATGTAAACCTGGATAGGGCTTTTTTTAAAAACTGTTTTCTGTTGTCCAGAGACTTCATAAATATTACTTTACTGTTGAATCAAAATTTCGTTAGTTTTTTTCTAATCAAATCTTTTTAGTTTATGGTTGTAGAGGGGGTGGGGTCTGAGAGAACCATTTGCTCACAAAGTATAAAGCTGTATGCTAACTTGTGAGCACTGGGGAAATGTGGTTTGAAGGGTGAAGTTGATCATGAGGTTCTACTGTAAGTGTTTGTTGTGCCAAAATATTATGTGAATCTTCTTTCAACTATTTGTACTTTATTAGTTTGGTTGATAAAGACCATCTTTTAATCTTGCGCAAGTCTTAATGCCTTTTTTTTTTCTGTGTTTTTTAAACACCTTTTATTAGTTTAATATGACTATCTTCATAGACTGAGAAGTTATGTAAATTGTATTGACATGTTTTATTTCAGAACAACAAAGAAGCATACCAAAGTATTTCAAGCCGACTCAAGTGTGCTGCAGGGTTAGCCGACTTAGCGACCCGTAAATACAAATCTGCTGCCAAGTATTTTCTACAAGTCAACTTTGATTATTGTGATTTCCCTGAAGTGAGTATTAGATACTGGCAACTCATGAGTGTAGAGCTGTCAATTCAGCATTTTATTGTGTTTCACCCAAAACTTCGTTAAAATGTGTAAGACACTGTCCTGAACAGGGTTTCTTTTTTATTTATTAATATTTTTTTGGAAAGAGTTAATTTTTTACACTGCTTTCATATGTGTTTTAATAAAAATATATGTTATTGTCTGAACCACAAGAGCTGATAACTTCAGAGTAATTTAAAGTTTCATTAATGCATTAATGATATTTTGGCATACCTTTGTTAAATGGTAGGGTCCCTGATGACAGCTTATTTCCGAATTATGGTCACTCTATGCGAGGAGTTGGGAATGATAGTTTGTGTCCGGCCTCAATGGAGCATCTGAGGGGACCGAGTGTGGACATCAAACAAAAAAAAAAAGATTTATTTACTTCAAGACAAATCCTGCGTGTCATTCTCAACATTTTATCATCATCATCATCGAGGTCATCAACATCATGATCATGAAATTACTACCAATTTTTCTTTTCCTTGTTTTTTTTTTTTTTTTTTTCTTAAAACATAATAATTACTACCCTATTGACACTTTTCTGAATAACTTACAAATATCTGGTGCCAAATCTGGACAGGGGACAAAAATAAAATTCAGATATAATAGATTTTTTTTTCAAATTGTAACTTTAATGCTGTTGGTTTTATTCTTGAAATAATTTTCTTTTACAGCTTTTGTCACCATCAAATGTCGCAACATACGGAGCTCTCTGTGCCCTGGCAACGTTTGACCGCAAAGAACTCCAAGTTAACGTGATATCTAGCAGGTTCGTGTTGGTTTTCAGCTGTACTTTCAATTGTTTGCCGTACAGAAAGTGCGATTTTGATTAAATAGTCTAATATGTTAGTGTGAATGTGTATGTGTGTGTGTGTTTGTGTGCTGGAAAAACATGTTGTTTGTCATGAGCCGTGTTTTTCAGGTCGATCAGTTGAAATAAAAGATGTTGTTGATTTGCCAGGCCGAGATGTTTACTCGGATGGTTGTCTGGTGCTCTGGTGTGGTTTGCTCCTTTTTTGCTATCAAACATATCGTCGTAATCTCCTCCTATTTTGTTTTGTTACTCTCTTGTAAAACCTCTAATCTTATATGACCTTATTGTGTTTCAAGTGCTGTAAAACTCTTACCAAAACTAAACTGAGATGTTTGCGTACATATGACAACTGAAAGTCCGTAGGAGAAGATACTTCATTTTATGTGTGTGATGTGAAACTTGTTCTGTTATTTATTGCAAGGGTGTCTATTTCTCCACCACACAGTTCCTTCAAACAATTCTTGGAATTAGAACCTCAGCTACGCGATATCATGAGCAAGTTCTACGAGTCAAAGTATGCATCCTGTTTAACACTTTTGACTGAAATCAAGGTTTGTTTTTAGTTAATCTCTTTTGGGTATAATTCAAATTTAGATGTATTTTACTTTTCTGGAATGCTGCCTTGTTAAGTGTCCAAGTAAAATGTCCATAGGGGCAAAAATTGGGATATCGACACCTTTTTAAAGGTTTGATGTCCAGGTACAGGTCCTTTTCATTGGGGGGTAAATTTGCTGAACTTACAGAAATTGTGGTGGTGATTTTTAAATAAAGAGCTTCTAGTAAGAGCTGTTGCGTAAAATTGTGGTAGTTGGTGATGATTACTGCAGAAATGTAGTGTAATTTCTTTTCTGATCTTTTGATTTCCCAGTTGTTGCTCGAAATTTGATAATTGTTCTAGAATGTCTTTTTTAAAACGTTTTAAATAGTGTATACATTCTTGACAGTAATGCAAAGTCCTTTCGAAATTTCTGGCTAAAAAGGTCTATTTATTTCATGTATTCAAAAGTTCTCTTGTGAAAAAAATGCTTGTTCCAGGACAATCTCTTGCTGGATATGTACGTTGCACCCCATGTGAACACATTGTACACACAGATTAGGAACAGGGCATTGTGTCAGGTAAATTGTTTTATACCGTTGTGCAGAACTTAAAGGTGTATGGAAGGAAGACTGATGTTTGCTTTTTCCTGTTTGTGAATGGGGTGGTGGTACTGGTGTAATTTTTCGTACCCAAATCACGTATGTGAATACAATTTCATGTTCAGATGCTCGCTAAACAGGAAAATCATATCCCTGGAATGCGTATACTCGAGTATCAACCCCAATTTTTGTTTTTTGTATATTCTTTGGTGTTTTTGTTTTTTTTACCGCCGGGGCTTCAGTTAAACAGTGATAAAACATCGATGATTCACAGTGTTTGAACGAGGTCTTTGTTTACTCTGTCCTTTTCGTTTTAGTTTTAGTAGAAGTTTTACGGCACTTTCGGCACAAAAGACTTTTGTGCTATCGGGATGTGAGTAAATGTGATTCTGAGTGTAAGCTTATATCATCTAACGCGGGGGTTGCCAAACTTTTTTGAAAGTGGGCTGGTTAACAGAGAAAATTTTGTTTAATAAAATACACTGATGTGTTAAATGAAAAATTTGTCACGTTACAGCTGAGCAAGGAATTGTACAGTGGCTAGAAACACTACTCGTTTATTTTGCACAAAAGAGTTCAATGAAATGATTTAATTATTTTGGTTACCAAGTCCTAATCATGTTGCAAAAGTATCTTTCAAAATTTTTACCCCTGCATGGTGGCACTGGCGGAAGGCTAGAGAGAAACTGGCCGCACAGGCTGGGTTTTGCACACGGACCATAGTTTGGTGACCCCTGATTTAAGGCCATATACTCCATGACTGTATGTCGTTACACTTTCAGTAGTAGCCCAATCTAACTGGTGTGATGTTGTGACATGTGTGAATTTTTTTAGCCTTGGTATGGAAAAGAAAAATGACTTGCCTTTTTTTATTGTGGGATCCAACTTGGTGAAATCAATGATTTATAAGGAAAGTGTAGATTTTGATTGGTATGTACATTTCTTCAACGCAATTTCATGTTACTTGAATTATGACATGTCTGAAGAGGCAGCCATGGCACTTTTTTAGTTTCATGTTCTCTTTGCTGTATCTTGCACCATTAAACCCAAAGTTAAAATCCTGTCTATTTACAGTACTTCAGCCCCTATTTGTCTGCTGACATGAGGAAAATGGCAGAGGCTTTCAACACCAGCGTGAATGCTCTTGAAGATGAGCTGATGCAACTCATCTTGGATGGGCAAATCAAAGCTCGGATTGATTCCCACAACAAGGTATGAGAACAAAGCTTTATTGTGTTCCCATTATAAGCAGTGATGAAAAAATTTTCAAAAGTTGCTTTTAAACAGTTAACTGCAGTTTTAAATGTTTCTGAAATAAAAAATGTGCTGGCTCTGCAGATGTTAAGAAAAGTGGACATGGATTATGTGCAGAGCTGATATTACCTGTTCTTATTATATATATTCTGTTTCTGCATTACTCTTGTATTGGATAGAAACCTCGTTTTGATAAGTAGTTTTTTAATAGATGTTGGAATGGATTTGTCTCCTGTTGATATTTTTTGTAGCTGTATTTTTTTTATGGTGCATTTTCCGTTTAGTTTATTCAATCTGGTTTTAACGAATCAACATTCTGTGTTTTTAAAGAATTGACAGTTGTACAACTGGAATGTTTTTTTATAATAGTTGTGCAGTTTGGAAATATGCAGAAAAAAACATCAGGTAACTTGTTTCATTTTTTTAATTTTTTTTTTTTTGCCTCTAGTTTTATTTTGGCCTGTATATTAATTCATTTTCTCTCTTTCAGTATTTAATTGAAGTAATTTGATTTTTGTTTGGATTGCATCAACTCAGATTTTGTATGCAAAAGATGTCGATCAACGGAGTACTACCTTTGAGAAAGCTATCTTGATGGGGAAGGAGTACCAGAGAAGAACAAAGGTAAGTTTTCTTTCATACACCTGACTTGTTCCTGTGAAAGTGGTTGATGAGTTGACTCACTGCTATGTTTTGAATTTGAAAAGAAGAACTTGTCACATTTTTGTTTAGTGCATAAAACTGAAATCTTATGAATACCTTTGGGATGTGTACATTTTTTTTTCTCCAATTTTTTTCTGTGGTTTTGATATGAAACTAGCTTATTATACTCTGTTTCAGAAAGAAAACAATGAATAAGGAATAATATTTTGTCATATCATTTTATTAGGTAGCTAGGCTGTGAGGAACTTAATTAGCTGCTGATGTGTGAAGAAAAATATCCTGAAGAATGAGGGGAATGTATAATGTACCTAGTTCTAGATAGTCTACCGCAAGCTGACAAAACGCCTTTTATCTCGAAACTTCTGTGAGTAAACACACAATGTTTTGTGAGCTCACGGTGGTAGTTTTCTCATTATGTGTGATTTGCTCTAAATTTGATTCTGTTTCCGAGTTATTTTTGTTTGCTATTTGTTGTCTTGTAATTTTCCTTTCATGTTTTGTATGTCGAACAATTGGGAGGCAGACAGAATTTATTAGGCCAGGACTTTTCCTTGTAGAGCTTCTGGTGTTCCTGTCTGCAACATTATCGTGCAAGATTTCGCTAACACTGACAGAGTTGTTCAACTCCATTGTCAGAGTTTGATAGTAGGCCTTGCAACAGCCTTTTAATTAAGGCGAACATTTGCAATGTACTTATGTTGAAGGAAGCATCGTGTTTTTAAAAATAAGTAGCATTTCATAAACTAGGGATGTAGCCTAATTGTTTCAGGTTTGCTTTGGTTTCAGATTTTTTAACCCTTCCAACTTTGAAAAAAAAAAAAAAGGTTTTAAACCAATAATGAGTGGGTGGTTGGCGGGTGCTCTGGCGTGGTTTGCTTCTTCTTTCCTATCAAACGTCTATTGTCTTTATCTCCCCTTCTTCTTTTTTATGTTTGTTACTCTCTTGTAACACCTCTAATCTTCTGGCGCTCATATGACCTTATGCAGTTGCGAGCGCCGTAAAACCTCTACTAAAATGAAACGAACAATTGGGGATTTTATTTCATTAAATGCGAAGATATTGCAATCATTTTAAAAATGTTCGCTTTTCTCAACAGGCCCTTATATTGAGATCTGCCGTTATAAAGATTCAACTTCACGTCAAGGTTGGTCATGATTTTGTTTAGTCCTGTGTCCAAGGCAGTAAACAGTGCCCGTAGAAGTAGCAAAAAAAAAATGATGGATCAGTTTAGAATAGTCTTTTACTCATATTTCATCCTTAATATTTATAATTTGTACATGACTGTCAGCTATTTCTGTGGGTTGATCAAAAGGTTTGGCTCATATCTAACAAAAGACTGGAAAGAGAATGTAATAATGGTGACAAGTCAATGCTAATTGATTGTCAGTTTAAGACACGTTTGATATATTTTGTCTCTATGATGTTTTATTTTATGTTCTTGTGATAAAGCATTAGAATTTAAAAGTAAAGGTTTGCCTATCATCTTCACGAAAGAGTGTTTCACCTTCTTGTCGGAGTAATTGTTAAAATTGTTGGTGTCTTCACTCTTATCACGTTTTTTTTTTTTTTTTGGTTTTTATAATAGACAGTGTGATTTTAAAATTATGAACATTCAACTGAAAACTGTCGAACAGGTCCATTTTAAGATTGTCTGATTTTTGTGAATTCTGTATGTTTCATGATTTGCAAGTTAAGAATTCTTAAATGTGTCAAAAACTTCCACTAGAATCTAGTCATTGGTAAGTCTTTGAGCTTGACATTTGAAAAAAAACAACTAGTTACTCCCCCGCCCCCGCGCCCCCCCCCCCAACAACTTTGAATTTGTCCATCTTATCTTCTAAAGGAAACTACCAGAAAATAATCCATGTAAAAAAAAAAATCTCTTTACTCCTGGCCAGTTTCCTTTCGAGGATTTTGCACGATACTTGATTTTTGTCTATAGAATCAATAAATCGAGTTCCTCACCTCAGTTCACTTGTCCCACAGAGTCCGCCACGGGAAGGGATGCAAGTAGAAATGTCAATCGCGCCCGCTAGTGCTAGCTCTGTGGTGAGGAATTAGACTTGTACAGGAGAGTTGTGTATGCAGTGTGTTCTGCCCCCCCATCGTCTCTCGACCCAAGCTGCCTGTTCACTCATCGTTTTTCTTTCCAGTGTGCGAGACAAAGCCTGCTGTGTACTTGAGCTTTTTTTTTTTTTTTTTTCAAAATTTGACAAATCTCATGCCTATGACTTAGAATTTGTGTGTGTGTGGTTACATATTACATGTGTGTGTGTCGGTGTGAAAGAGCTTGGGTAAAGTATCTTTGCTAACATGTGTTTGGGTGAGAGACAGATGAGCATCTATGCTTGTGTGTGTATGTATGCGTGAGAGTGTGTGCGTGTGTGTGTGTGTGTGTGTGTGTGTGTGTGTGTGTGTGTGTGTGTGAAAGATAGGAAAATAACCCAGTTGCTTGTGTGTGTGTGCTCTTGTGGAAATGCAACGATTTTTGATCACTGTTGAAGAAAAAGTGCGTATTAACCCTGTGTGTGTGTGTTTAGAGTTTGAGATGTATGAAATCATTCCTGTTGTACTGTTCAGTTTGATCATTTTTGGACGTTGCGAAGACGCTCTGGCTCAGAATATGATTGTAGATGGTTTGTGAAGAGTTCCTTTAGCATCAGAGAATCGGATGGTTGGGAGTAATGTTATTTATATTATGTTCATTAGGGTTACTTCCATTCATTCTTTTATGGGCATGTTTCAAGAAGAGACATTGTTAAATAGCATAAGTTCATTCTATTGAGTTTGCTTTTTTCATGTTATAGTGAATGTGATTTAAACTATTGTATTTTGTTGAAAGAATCGTTAAGTTGTCACTGGGCTCTATGCTATATGGTTTATTCTAGTTAAAGACAAATACCTTCTCCCCCCCCCCCCCCCCCAACTCTATCTTAAATTCTTGTAAATCATCATATAGAGTTTTTGGATATTCATTGTTAAAGTACTATAGTTACAACAATATTGCTTCTTATCAAGTAACTTTAATTGTTACTCCCTAGTTGGTCATTTGAGATTTATTGAGCTTTTTTACTTATACTTGAACACTATTGGAGAGGGTTCAGAAAGGCACTCAGTTTCAAAAACCGCGTGTTTTGTTCTAATAATATCATGTACTGGCGTGTTAACTGTCTGAAGTTTACAGTCTTGTTGACTTCCAATAGTTTTTGCGACACTGCAGATTCAAGATAGTTTTTCAAATGTGTTTGAGCTCGGTACAAGTACAAGGAGAATTTTATACATCTCAGAGGTGCTTATCAGCTTTTCCTTTTGTTCTGACTTTCTGTGTCATTAAAAAATAGCTTTCTGGTTGAAGCTTTGTGAAGGGATTTCACTGTTTGGGACGCCAGTGGAATGTGAATGTTTGCCTTGTAGAATAATTCACTCCGTTTCAGCAGGGATTTGATATTATGGTTAGTCTGGAGCATTAGTTAGTGTCTTTTGTCTGCCTGTAGATGGGTGGAAGTGCAGCATGACCTGACAGTTTGTGGATTTTCCATCTGTACCCATTCCGTTGTATGCTTCCTTGGAAGCTGAGAATGTTTCGGAGTGTTCTATGGTCTGCTGGGGTAATAATATAGTGTAAAGCGCATAGAGCCTGCTGTTGAGCGGGGATATCCGCTATACAAATGCTATCTATTATTATTATTAGAATGGGTGGCTGGTATGCTCTTTGGTATTTTGTCTGCTCCGACTACTTCTTTTCAGTGTTTCTATTTTCTTGGTTGATTGTTTTCATGTTGCAATACAGTAGTTTAACACACACACACATGCGTCCCTCCCCGCCTCGTAAATCATAACTCCACCTTGCTCTGTTGTAGAGACTTGTAAAAAGTCACACACATCTCCACATCCACTGATCTCTGTCTGTGTAGGCCTCTTTCCTCTCCGTTTGCTTACCGCGGCAGAGGTCTTGTTGTTGTGGTTAGTGTCGGAAACTGGTGAGTTGTTTCTGGGTTTTCTGGTGCTGTTTCGTGGACTGACTCCTTTTTCCCGGGGAGGGGGGCGTTATTTAACAGTTGACGTGCTGACTGGAGGAAGAATCGAGCTCTACACTTGTAGTACAGAATTAACCTGGTTTTTGTTTGGGGTTTTTTTTTTTTTTTGAGGTGAAAGGTGTAGGGAGAGAAGATTTGGTTGAGAACGGATGACGTATGTGAATTTGAATCGCCAGAAGAATTATTTTTGTAAAATGTTTTTACAGATATTTATGGTTTCTGAGATTAATGTACTGTTATTTAGAATGATATTTGTTTGGTATTACTTATTTAGAGAGTTTAGGAGGGAAAGCATTTAGAACTAGGTCTGAGAGTTGAAGTGCTCTGAGTGAATAAATAATTACCTTGTAATATTTTTCACTTATTTAAAAATTAAAAAAAAAATAATTGTGCTTTTTTGCCTCAATCGCATGTGAAAATTTTCAGATTGATGATGGGAGATTAGAACATAGAGGATCAGAATATGTTTCTGCTCAGATCTTCGTCTTATAAAATTTTGGGTGTGCTATTTGTATTGTGAAGAAGATCAGCTAGTTGTAGGTGTTGTAGAGATAGGGAAGTTTCCCTCAGGAATTGGTTTGATCTTTTCCTCCTGTGTCATATTTCATATGTTCACTGGTAGGTTGGGATGAAGGTGTGGTTGTGTATTTAACATATATTTGAGACCTCCTGAGGGTTTTGTCTACTTATGTATTATTATTCGGTAGATTTATCAAATGATGCAAGCGAAGAGTGTCTGCGCTTTCTCGTAGCTCGCAGAAAAAATTTATAGGTTTATTAAAATGGAGTTGTCCCCGCTGAATCACGCCCGACCCCAACATAGCAGTTGATAATGGAAAATATTTCAGATGTTCAGGATGTATGTTTTCCTAAATGAGGGCTTTTTGATAATGCAGAGAAATCCGCTTAATCTGAACACGGCGGTAAATCGAATGAAAATAAAAGTCTGGATTTGTTTGTCTTCTATTCAAACAACGGAAGAAAATCTGGCGTTGTGGCAGATTTTGGTTTAAGTGGACTCTACTGTATCGCAACACATTAGTCCATAAATATGATTAATGATGTGCTATTTGTTGAGGACACTCTTACTACAAGCAGGTTGTTTGTGTATTGGTATGGCTTTTATGATTCATATAAAGGCATTATAGTGGGGGAAAAAATATATATTCCAACAGAGACTGAATCAAAATCTAGACTAGTCAGTCTTGGGGAAAAGTATAATGTTTATTATTAATATTAATGATATTGTTTCGCATTTTTTCTCGCATAAACATTAAAATATTTGCAACAGAGACATTTTCTGGTTTTAGTTTTATTCTGGTTTCCTAATTTATTAACAGTAATGACACAGAGTATTTGGTCTTTTCACATCTTTGGGAAATTATGTTTTTGTCACATGATAGCATGTGAGCACTGAAATCTACCTTACTTTGTGTGTAGTAATTTTCGCCAACAATCTAGTTGAAATGGCACCACCCCCCCCCCACTTCTTATAACATTAGTGGTCTTTGATTATATAGCAAATTTTGTAATTTATGTCAAGCAAGTTGGTATTGACATTGTGAACATGTATTGCGTGTTGATGAACAATTGCATATCATCATAAACATTTTTTGAAATACAAACCAAGACGTCTGGCCTTTGTCACTCCCCACTCAGTTTACGCACAAGACTTGTTCTTTATTTTTTTCTCTGTTAGATCGGGTTCTGGCCATCAACTATTATGCATAATAGTAGAACCCTGTTAAATTTCAAAAAGTCAAAAAAGCACCTTCTTCTCTTTGCTTTTGCTTCCAGACTGATGTAGTTTTCATTTCTCCTCTGGGTTCTTTTGTTTCTTTATTTTTGTTTGTTCAGAGGGGGGAAAAAATTGTTCCCACTAGTGTGAATAGATGCTCCGGTCATGATTTATGAATGTATATAATTTATTAAAACGACAATAAAGACAACTAAAATATGTTATTGGTGTTCTGATAATTTATTTTTTTTGCGGAATGCTTTTTACTTGTTAGCCTTTGCCAAACTTTTTTTTTTTTATAGCTGCTATAATGACGTTTTGGCGTTGATGATTCTGAACTCTGCCAGCGCCAGCTTGAGTAACTCTGTGGGTCCGAATTTTTATAATCCTTTAATCCAGAGTCATAGAGTTAAGTGTATTTTTACCTTGTTTGCTATCCTGCTAGTGTTGTTGGATCCAGTGCCCTGCTTTCAATATGGTCTGTTTTGTGTCCAGTAAGATTTACACTTTTTTACCAGAAAAAAAGACAGGTGAAAAGGGATAGCCTACTTTTCAGTTTAGTTTTAGTAGAGGTTTTACGGTGCTCGCAACTGCATAAGGTCATATGAGCGCCAGAAGATTAGAGGTGTTACAAGAGAGTAACAAACATAAAAAAGAAGAAGGGGAGATAAAGATGATAGATGTTTGACAGGAAAGAAGGAGCAAACCACACCAGAGCACCCGCCTACCACTTTTCAGTTTATTGAAAGTAAAAAATTTATAGCTGTTAACGGGTTGTGTATGTTTTGGTTTACTTTCCTTAATGAGTTCTATGCAGTGGTACTGTTTAGAGAATTATTCTTGGTTTCTTTTAATTAAGTTCTTTTGCATTCTTCGCCATGGACCTGATTCTGATGGAACTGTAAAATGCATGGTCTGTGAGAAAGCAGGTAGTCTCGTGGACAGAAACATTTGTGAGTGAGGCAGCATGGTGAAATCAGGCGCTCGTCAAAACAATGAAAGTAAAGAACTGTCATTTTTCGGCTGGTTTGGCTATTTTTTATCGAAATTTGGCCTTTTCGATCAACAACTTACATGTCCATTTAAGAACCCATTTCTGTGTTGATTTTACTGAAAAATGGTTAAAGTTAAAGGCACAAAAAATGTAAATTAATTGCCAGTTCCATGGACTCTCAGACTATGAAAATAACCAAACTTTGGCAGCTATTTTCTTGCTTATTTTGCCTCTAAAACCAGGCAACCCTCCCCTCCTTCAATCACAAATATCTCGACTTGTAATTCAATATAAATGGATATTTCTTTCATCAAAAGCAAGAGAAATGAACAAGCTTTAAGGCAATACCAATAACTCTACACTCCACATGCCCAAAAATTGACGAGTGCCTGATCACATTTTCTCAGTGCTAAACGCACATGGTTGTGGACGTGCTGCTTTTCAAATCTAAATGTGAGGCCGCGTGGTGGAATCAGGCTGTCGTCAAAATAATCAAAGTGAAGAAACTTGCATTTTTCCGCAGGTTTGTGAATTTTTTTCCAATTTTTGTTTTTTGTCTCAACACCTTTCATGCCCTTTAAAGAACTCGTTTCTGTGCGGATTTTTCTGAAAAACGATTAAAATTAAAGGCACAAATAAAGTAAATTTTCAGTTACCACGGACTCTTAGGCTAAGGAAATAACTCATCTTTGGTGGCCATTTTCTCACTAATTTTATCTCTGAAAACAAGTGACCCCCACCTCCTTCTTTTGCAAATATCTCGACTTCTATGTATTCAAAATAAATGGATATCTTTTTCATCCAAATAAAGACAAGTGAACAAGCTTTAAGATGATACCAATAACTCTACATGCCCAAAAATTGACGAGAGCCTGATTCCACCACGCTGCCTCACAAATGCTACATCAAATCCAACTCTGTTCTGTGGCATCAGTAGTTAGTAGCTTAGTGGGCTACCAGGCCAGTAATCATGAGAGAATGCGGGTTCAGAGCTTCAAGCCTCGGCTCAACTCGATCCAACGCTACATCCTTGGGAAAGGCACTTTGTATGAATTTTCCCATTTGCCTCGGTACTTTGGTAGATGGATGTTAAATTCGGAGGTGCTGCCCCTTAAATAATCTTAGTGTTGTTTTAAACAAGAATTATTTCTCATTTTTCAACCCTTTCCTCACGTCACTCAAAAGTGGCCTCTGTTTTGGGATACTAATGAAGTGGCACACTTTTACTCTTTACCACCCTGCCCGTGAACTCGCTGACTGCATGAATGCGCCTAGTCTAGACGACTGTGGATGCTCTTTAAAATTCAGTGTGGACTGTTTGAACTACCTCTTGCAAAAATCATAATAGTATTAATAGTTAGTTATAATAGTTCAATTTGATGTTCATGAACGGATGATGACTTTTACTATCCAAGGAGGAAGAAATAGTAGACTGTACGATAGCAAGAGAAAAAAAGGAAATATTAGCAAGCAAATTATAATGATCACAAATGTCACAACTTGCCAAACAGCGCCTTCCCCTTTCCTAAAGCGGAGCACTTGTCTACCTAAACATGGAGTTAATTAAACCTTATGCTTCGTTTGTGATCAACAAACCCTCTTCTTTTTGAGAATTTTCCACAGACAGATCACTTGGGCCAGTGTCAATGTCAGGATTTGACAGTCTGATTTTCTTGATCCTCTGCTTTGGTTTTCTCAAAAACCTTTGCTGCCACATGTCACGGCTGTTTGCCACTGAGATTGGTCATCCATATCAAAGGAGCAATCTTTCAGAGGTCTTAAGAGTGTCTTTATATTGGGAGGAATCCATACCTTCTTAAAAATGTTGCTAAATTATCTAAAAACGTAGTGTAAGCAAAATGTGGTAAATACATTACAACTACTCTTTCACAAAGCTTGGAGTGAGTGGTTGACGGGTGCTGTGGTGTGGTTTGCTCCTCCTTTCCTATGAAACAACTATCGTCTTTATCTCTCTTCCTTCTTTTTTGTGTTTATTACCCTCTTGTAACACCTCTAATCTTCGGCACTTATGATTTTATTGAGTTGCAAGGGCTGTAAAAAAAAGCTTACTAAAACTAAAACAAAGCTTCTTGGGTTTGCAACATTTCCTCAGTGTAAAGTGTCTCATATACACATGCAACACACCACATAACTTCTTTCATCACTTTTTAAAGATTATACAACACGCATTCCTGAGAATGATGTGTCGGTGGAACATCCTTCATACAGTCACCAAAAGCAATGTAATGAGACTGCAAGTTACAAATTAATATCAATGATCTCAAATTCAGTAATTGAACACTTCCACATTATGCAAAAACACCACAACTGAAGATTCCATTTGTTTAATTCAGGTAAATGATTGGAATGGTAGAAAAAAGAATAAACTAAAATGACAGCTTTAAGTTAAGTAGACAAATGAAATGGAAGACCACCTTGTAGACTGTGGGGAAAAAAGGAAGACATGGAATCCAGGACTTGCAGGCACACAACATAATGGGTCATCTTGTGTAAAAAAGAAAAACTTCATATAAAATTCATGAAGGAAGACTAGAACAATGCATTTAGCGAAATACCCAATTATTCAATGGGATTGATAGTAACCCTTTCTGCATATTTTTCAACCAAAAAAGCGGATAGATCTATATCCCTATCATTATTGGTCTACCCCTTTTCCAAAGCACAAAAGTAGACCTACATTCCTTCCTACTAGCAGGCACACAAACCCTGCCTGTGCACTTGGGGCAAGGCTTCTTCAAACAAAGTAAACCACATCAAGCTCTGCAAAGTAGACTTCCGATCTCATGTCAAGATCTCTAATGATAGTGATAGTGGAAGCAAAAGACAATAGTATTGACCTACGGTCATATTCAGAACTAGAGGAGACGTGAGACGAGAGGGGGGGGGGGGGGGGGGGGGGGAGAAGGAAGGAGGTGACCTACGCCAAGAACTTTCTCATGAGAATCAGGAATAATAGAACATGCTTTGCTTTAGAGGTTGAAGAGAAAGTCGTAGAAAAGATGCACTTAGACATCATGTATGTATACATTCTCTTTTGAGATGAAAGATTTGAAACAGTATGTTAAAGCAATTGACTAGTGATGTCTACATAGCTCACACCAACTAAAGAGAGAGAGAGAGAGAAAAATCAATATAATTATGTGAACATTAACTCTTAGTATACGACAAGCCACTTCAGCCGGCGCACAGCATCGCTCAGTTGTTTAGTCATTACGAATAATCCATGAAACCCCAGCAATTCATCTTTCCTATAATAAAATTGTACAGTTGACTGCAACGATCATTCATTTTTCAGTTTGGTGTTTATTTTAACTCTTTAACCCTTGAGTTTTTTCCACTGTTTCCCGGATTTTTTAAAGTCACCTAAACCTGGAGCACTATGTCTCATTATAACTCAAAAAGCTTGCCTCCAACTTCTAAATGGTGGAAACAAAGGCTTAGTCATTACTGAGAAAACTTGCTTCGGAAATAGTTCCGAAAAACAAGCAAAAACTAGCACTAAATAAAACGAACCATTTGTCACTAGTACTGGGGAACAGGGTTATTACCGCTGGACGCCCCCACCGTCTGATGGGGTTTAAAGAGTTAAGAAAATACGTTAAATAGGCGCGGGGTTACAGGGAAGTCTGGGTGACAAAATTGGCTGCGTTTAAAAGGGTGGAGTAGCCTTCTGTATACCAAGAGCTAAGACTGCGTATTTGGACAGGCCTGCATAACATCCTGATTAGCACACTGAATAAACTTATGGGCAGCAAGGAAGACATGTTGGTACAGGGTTAGCGTCACAAACAATGGACTATAACAAGTGATGAACCATCCTATAGTAGAAAGCCTTTTGGAATTTTTCAATGACAAAATAGTTGTACAGAATTTATTAACACAGCATTTCTAAGGAAGCATTTCAAAAATTTGTGCATCACATATCTAAATCCAGTTACTACTGAAATAAATATAAATTTTTGGGGGAAAAAACAGTAACAAAAAAAAACATGGATAATGAAATGAAAGTTTTAAGTAAAAATTAAAAACCCTATAAAACTAAAACTAGGTTTACTTTCAGTATTCAACTCAATTTATCATCATTCAAAACCATTCCTTCAAAATATACATCCCTGTCACTGTCAGTATGACGCAGGCACTACGCTAAACATTTTTTCACAAAAGAAATAATAAAAATAAAAATAAACTTCACATGGAAGTGTTTCTTAAAGCCATATTTGATTTTAAAAAATAGAAAGAAAAAAACACAACCCCCCAACCAAAACACCAAATAAACCAGTCAAGATAAACATGGTACACTTGCCAGGAATGGATGAAGTCTTCGGCTGCTACTATAACCTTTGGTTAAATACATTTAAACAGATTTTTTTTAAAAATGGGGAACAACATCCCCTTAGGCAGAAGCCTCTTCCAGCGACTCCATGGTGAGGATGCTGTGGAAGGTGAAAGGCTGGAAGTGGTAGCCATCTCCGTCGTAGAACTTGGACTGGAACTCCACCCAGTGCAGACGCAGGGTATGCAGGAAAGCACTCAGCCCTTCCATCAGCAGCAGGATGGCCACAGTCAGGTTGGCCCAGACGAAGAAGATGACGAAGAGAACGACCCCACCAACGTAATCTCCGCCGATGGAGAAACCCATGTGCAGCACCATGCTCCACAGGACCTCCGACAGTTCTGGAGAGAGGAAAAAACAAACACAAAAAAATGAATTCTTGTTATTATTGAATTGTATCTACTGTTGTTTGTTTTAGTAAGAGTTTTATGTAACTTGCAACACAATAAGGTCATATAATTGCCGAAGATTAGAGGTGTTACAAGAGAGGAACAAAAACAAAAAAAGGAGGAGTGATAAGGACGATAGATTTTTGACAGGAAAGAAGGAGCAAACTGCACCAGAGCATCCGCAAATCACCTACATCTGATGTTGTCGCTGCTGCCACTACTGATGATTCCATTGTAGTAGATGATAAAAGGATATAATAGAAGGGGAGCGGTGACACGGGACCATATAATGACAGATAGATTATATAGATAAAGATGTTCAAGCAGAGAGACAGACAAAATAACATTTTTATGCTATTGGTAAAAATGGGATGCAAACTTGTACTCACATTGAAACATTCTTTTTAAATCAAGAAAAAGGTTGAAGGAACTACCCTTCTAAACCAAACTGACAATGTTAAATATCTGTAAATCAACTCTCAGGAGAATTCCTATGGTGACATGGCTTCATGTGACAGAAAACAACATGAGAAGTTAATTTTACATGTGCAAAACGTGCAAGTTAACCAAAAAAAACAAACAAAAACGAACATATCTTTGAGGCATAAATTTAATTAAATTAGTCTTCAAATAGCTTCCTAGACTGACTTGCATTAGGAAAAACATTTCAGAAGATTCTTTTCTCACCAAGAAACCAGACAAAAACCCTCTGGGGGGAAAAAACAACCAGGTAGCTTACCAGCGTGAGCAAGAGACAGGGCCCACAATCTCAGGTAGGAGGCTGTGTGAGATATACATCCCAGACAGAATTCAATGGTCTCAATGGCACCTTCGATGACTATTTCACCAGTGTCCTCCTGAAGAATGGACAACATGAGCATTTCATAATTTCATACAGCAGCATAAAATGATGTCTTAAATCATATACACAGTGCTCTCACACAACGAGGTATACAAAAAAAAATAATACTTTAATCCCCCCCCCCAAAAAAAAATTTAAAAAATCAGAAACACAATTAACCCCCCCCCCCCCAAAAGAGAAAACAAAAGACCACAACAACGTAAGTAGTTTAACTTATCCTGCTAGGAATAATACCAAAAAAAAAAAAAAGTAAGACAGGCCGTATACACCTCCAAATATATCTTTCTTAAAATTAGAATACGCAAGAAGGAAGTTAAGTGCTGTTAGGTAAGTCTCGAAACTTAACTTTTAAGAAGCAACAACTTACTTCCTGGGATATTGACAAACTGGCAATTTACAAAAAAAAATTTTTTTTTGGAAAACCTTAAAATTTTGAGTCATGCTTTACAGAAAATACCCTCAGTGTGTGAGTCTCATATTATGTACATCATAAAATGGTCCTGAAATATAAAGGCAGTACTGCCGTAAGCTGACAAAATGCCTTTTTAAAAATTCACGGCAGTTTCAAGAAAAAGAGGCTTTTTGTCAGCGTAACTATTCAAAAATAGCATTCTTCCAAAATTTTGAATTCAAATTTATTCAAAAACTAGTCAGTTTCATTTTGATTCTTTTCACACAAGCAGGGTAACTGATCAAATCGACGATTTAGTAAATAAAAAATGTTGGCCCCAAAATGAAAAAAAAAGGCGTTTTGTCAGATTCCGGCAGAGTAGTCCCACACAATGAAGTATACATAAAAAAGGAATGAGTAGACAAAGTAAAAAAACTGTGTGTAACTTACGTGACCGCCATGGTCCGCATGCGGTTCAGACATTCCCAGGTTTTCCTCCTCATCCGAGTTCAGAGATCCAATGTTGGCGGGAGGATCCTTAGGAAAAACAAAAAGAAAACGCTACCATGAACTTTCTGAAATCAATACAGTATGATGAAGAAGAAAATCAGAGAGAAGAACCAAGAACACGTTAATGAATGACAGTAAAGGGGTGGGATGGGGGGGGGAGAGATGAGGAGGTCAGGGTTTTTCTGAAACTACAGGAGATTCTATATCCCTCTGAAAGAAGACCAGAGGAATACAGCATGGTATCAATTGGAGGCTGCTTTCCAGTTGAAAACATGCATTTTTAAGTGAAAAGGAAAACTAAATTAACAGCAGAAACTACACTGAAATGAGAAATGAAGGTGAGATAAACAAGAAAATGAAAAGATAAACAAGAAAATGAAAGTGGAGGATCAAAGCTAAATGCGTATGACACGAAACTAAACGAAATACTGAAGTTAAAAGAAAAGGGTGCTTGGGAATGGACATTCACTATATATGATAAGAAAGAAAGAAAACATCTTCCAGTGGAAGAAAAAAACCCCCAAAAAAACGACAAAACAACCATACCAGGAATCCTGTAATGCTTCAAAGGAGAAAAATAATTACATACAGAGGTACAATAAAACAATAATACCACCTGACATGTAGAGCATCTGTCCAGGAAAAGAAAAAATTGTCACATTATATTGCTCATGATGCAATATCTGTTGATATTTTAGGTACACAACAAAGGGTACTACTATATGCTTACAGTTATGCAATACAGGCATGACGAAAAGTTACTTTAAATAAAGAGCATTATATCTGCTGGTGTTAAAATTTTGTTAAATGACAGCAACACAACATACAGATTTAGTCTCACACACACACACAACAATGATAAGCACAGAGACAGTCCGACACACGTTGTTAATAAAGAACGTACCAATGGTCTCCCATTGCCCACACTGTCAGGTTGGTACGCTGGGTTCACTTGCTGTAAAGAAGTACAAGCCATGCGTGAAGCAAAATAAAATATCAAAACGAAATGAAAGCTCCCTGCTTCGGTGGAAGTCTTTGTGGCACTAAAGAGCCCATCACGTTACTTTTTTTTCTTCACAAAACCGAAGATATAAACCCTCAAGTAGGTTAGATTAGTGTGTTGAAAGAACTGAAAATCAGCTGAAAGAAGCCTGCCAAGCAGGTCATCCTATCTCCCTGATGGGTACTGGAAAAGAGAAAGAGTCCACAGTTTAAAACTCTTCTGAGTCACTAGGAAATCCTGCCCGTCTCAGCTGGACATACGAGCAAAGACAAACCAATGTCAATAACTTACACAAGCATTGTTCAAGAATTATATTTCAGTACATGACACCTCCGTACCTTTGCCAATTTTTCTGTCTTTGTTTCCAGTGTTCCCACTGACTATGCTTATTATTTGATAGAGAGAAAGAGACCGCTCGTAATATTCATCTAACCAGAATCATTCTCACTGATCACAAGACAAAACCTGTAAAAGTGAAATGAGCAAAACTATATATGGAATCAATATGGCCAATCAAAGTTCAAAGGAAATTAGTAAATTGTTTTTTCATTAAACTGTAAGTAGGGCCCCATGTTCATCATGAAAAATGAAGCAAAACAATTTACAAAAGGTAATATTACTGAACATACATACGATTTGACCAACTGAAGAAAACCTGAATTGAAGTTAGTTTTTTTCCCCTAAATCTTTCATCACTCTCTAATTACATAGTCTGTTGGCTTATCTTATTCTTATGAGCTCCAACATCCAGAAAGAATGCTTTATAACAGGTTAATAATTGATTTGGTTAAAATTTGATTAAAGAACATTTGTAAGATAGCACAAATCCAACAGTAACTTTAAAGTCTTTCATAGATTAATTTGAAAAACGAAGTTCAAATATAAAATTGTCAAAATTTCAAGACTCGCTGAGAAAAAATTTGCTCCTAACCGAAAGTGCTGGGGGATTTACTTGAACAGAGAAGATTGCATACAAAAATCTTTCAGTGAGCTCCAGTTATAACCACAGATTGTTTAACATACTGAAGTATAAAAGACAACTCGCGTTGGGAACCTTATTTCCCCTAACTTTTGAATTCTGCAATCATAAAATATTTTACAATGCCTCAAGACTCGGCATGCAAACAACATAAATAACCCTCCTCAGCTTATGTAAAAATAAAATAACACTGAGGGTAACACAAAAATATCTACAAGTCTAAAGTCTGTTGACAACTGAAGAAATCAAGCTATCCTACTGTCACGGATGCAGCCCTGTCACTTCATTTACATTTTCCATCAATCCCACAAATTAGGTTTTGATATGCTTGGTCACATGCATACTTTAAGTAACAGCAACTGAATCGGTGCTATGCTGCAGAAATACAATGCAGTATTCTGACACAAAACAGACTCGAAATACTGAACATTGCAGAGCCCACATAAGTAATATCCTCCACATGCCTTTACAGAATCAAATTATGACCCTACATATACAGTGCACACAAAAAGCAAATCGTAGAACTACTCTACCTAAAACTTGATCTAGGTTTACCATATCCACCAAACTTCTGAATTACATAAATCAGCCAAGGGGAAGCTAGATGAACAATTTTTTTTTTTTAAGTTTCAGATTGAAAATTGCACTAAAATTTCAGCAAAGTCAAATTTATTGTCATAAAGGACATATCAGCGTTTTTCCTACTCTGGGATCAATCACAGCAGCTTTTACATATCTAAGGATGAAATGTCCAGTAGAAACAGTTCCCCCAACCACCAAGCTTCAATAACTGACCATAAACTTTGAATACGGTACATCATTATGCTCCTGCAGGCCTTTAAAGTAACCACACACCAATTTACAGACTGAGACAGCATGGCCCCTATCAAGATGACGCAGCCCACAGACCACCCTAATTTTGCTTTGGGGCACTTTTAAAAGAACTCTATCTGTAGAAAGGTTACATAAAGAGTGTGGGTTTAATGCCCCTATCAACGCTATTAGGTTATCCAAGAGGCAGGAACCTCTAGATTTAACTTCTGTCCCTGACAGGCCCAAGCCAAATGGGTTGAGAGCCTTCAAGAAGACCCAATCTTGTATTCCAACAAGGCCATCTACTCTCTAGTTCAGCATAATACCAACTGAGCTAAAGGAGCATCCAAGCTCACATAAGAAAGATCCAAGATTTTGTTGGAATTTGAAAGCCTTGCATATTTTTCACTGTCCATTCCAAAAGGACTGGAATAGATTGACTGAAAAAGATAATTTCGCAACAACAGCTATTTGCCATTTTGACATACAACGGTCAGAGTGAGCATGTCATCTGTCAAAGCAATTGTGAACACCTATAACCTGTTCTTTTATGAGAACGGATCCACTGAAAAACTCATTCTTCATTCTCAAAAACATGGAATTATACAAAAAAAGAAAGAGAAAAAACAAAAAATCATTCAAAATTTAACATCTCTGAATTTTTAAATCCAATTCTTAATATATTCCTAAGAGTTCACTGCCTTGTTTTTTCAATTTCTCATTCATGCAACCTGCTCCCCCTGTCAGATTTATTATATTGAATTAATGTTTGGTTGATGTGGTAATAGCAAATGAAGTCTTTGAATTTTAGTAAGCCATTTTTTTTTCTTTTCAGTTTCTTTTACTAAACCCTGAAATTCATCATATCAAAACTACAAACAGAACTGGACAGAAAGGCTGAAACATATTCTTGCGCCTCTACGTCTTTTACAGTGGAAACCATCGTGGAACCCCAGGTATTGTATTACTGACAAAAAAAATTTAAAAAATTCCACAAACTACCACAAGCAGTAGGCAGCTCAACAATAACAAAATGGATCAGTCTTTAAAGAAACAAACAGCAAACCAGAGAATAAGCACTTTTTCAAAAGATAAACTATCAAAGACCACAAAATAATTCGGTACTTGCACGAAAAAAAAGCCACATTGTCCAGGGTTACAAATGAGCCTTCCTGTCTCTTTGTCCTTTTTAAGTTATAAAGAAACCATGCTCCTTACACTACAAATGCAAAACAAACCAACGTGGCTACATAAGTATATGAGGCACTTCTAACTCACCTAAGCACAATTACGTCTACGCAAACAGGGAAGAGGAGAAAAAAAAAAGCAAAGAGGGATGAATCCCATGTCTGAAGCCAGTAAAATAGAGAGGAGAGGGCGATACATGGTACAGAGGGATCACAATAATTTGAAGTAGCCCCAATCTAAGCCAGGGAGAAAAAGTGTGAACATACCCTTAGAGGCACAACAAAACATGTTGAAAAACATGAATCATATATTATTTGCTCCATTTCCTTATGAAAGAAGCCACATTTCTAACACATCAGTGGAAAGTACTTAGATTTCACAATATGAACGAAACTGTTTAGACATTATTTTTCAACTTGCAAAAGAATGTAAAATATAATATGTCCTCCCTACTTTTCCCGGAGGAGTGCTGCTGTTTCTATTTATAAAAGACAAAAATTAAAGTAGGTCAATCAAAGAAAGTTCCATATAGCTGTTTTACACTTTCTGTTGAACAGCCAACGTATTTGAATCCTTTTGAAAAACTCGGGAAAAAAGCTTGAGATTACACTGACAAAAAGGCAGGGCAGTATCGACATTTAAACATATGCATCGTATATATATGGGAAAAAAGCAAGCTCAGTGACTTTCTACATAAATCTGCACAAAAACTCCACTAACCTACATCAGTGTGTTTTCTCTCCCCACAAACAGACAGCAGAAACCATATCTAATATAAATATGAAAATTTGCAGTGGCAGATATGGATGGCAGCCTAAGACTAAATTCCATTCCTCATTTCTAATTCCACACAGCTGTCCTGTTTTACAACTATACAGAGAGGAAAAACCAAAGTTTTGGTGTAAGCTTGAAATGAGGTTCCTGTATGTGTGGGTTTATTGTTGTTGTTGTTTTGTTGTTGTTGTTTTTTTTGGGGGGGGATAAGAGCTTGGTATTCTACATGTATATGGTCGCTTTTAAGGACAAGCGGGCTAACCCGGATTTCAGGGGTTTCCAGAAATCTTAACCTACACCAAGAGTGGGCAATGCCCTACCTATAGGAGAAGTTTGGTTCCATTTGAGTTTATATTTGGTTATAGAGAAAAGTCTCCTTGTTTTTTAAAGAAACTGAATAAGGGGCAAAAACTTTACCTTCAATTTTCTTAGAACAGCATTTTTCGGGATAGCCTCCTTGTGTTTAAAAATGACCATATACAGTACTAGCTAGACTCCCAGGCCAAATCCTGGCTCACTTTCCAGTTTGCATGTGTGCAGCGCATAATGCTGGAGTTTGTGTCTTGGATATGTATGAAATATTCGGAGCTCCAGGGCATTTATTGCCCATGGTAAAGATAACTATGCTGTTGATAGTCGAAGAATGGGAGGCCTGATAAGGCAAATTTCACAATAACCCAAAACTGAGGTCAGTATGAACAGCTGCACTGAGGGTTGAAATAATCAAAGGCCGGGAAGAAAGACGAAGAAAAAAGAAGAAGAAAGAGGTAAGTTTCACCCTCCCTTCACACTTACTCCCCTCCACAACTGCTATAAGAAACAAACTCTCGGCTGCTTATTAATCTGACAGGACAGAGAAACTTGGGTGAGGACTGAGGGTATCATAATCACGACAATATACGGCAACATTTTTAAACCCAAGTGACTAGTCGCATGGAGAAATTTGGTTTTTGACCAGGCTGGCAGCTGTTGTAAATGTTTTATACCCATATTGACACAATTTAGGGAATTTAAGAGGGAAGCTGCTTTAACCTTGCCTGTCGGGGCTAACCCATTACCATACTGTGGGAAAAACATCCTTGCAAAAAGACAGAGATGAGATACTCGATACCGATAATAGTATATTCACAACACGAGAAACGGCAATATCTGTAGTCAAGTACAGTGGCTGAAATTCTCAATTTGAGAATGAGGAGGAATTGTGAGCGTCCACAATTGTGAGTGTGTTTAAGTTATACTATATTTTGAATTAGTGAACAAGAGTAGAGGGTTTTTAATCTTTCTTTAAACTTATGTTATAGAAGATTTTCTTTTCAAAACAAAGTGAAAATGTAGAGAAAAATCAACGAAAATGAACTTCTTTTCTTAAACAAACGCAAGTTCCAAAGTCATTGAGTAGAATTGTTATCAAACGAACTAGTAAAATGCAATACTGGGAACTGACTTACACCTTTCACTTCATAGAGTTTGATGTAAAATATCTGGAACAAACAAGCCTTGAACATGAGTCAAAATCATCTTGCACAAAAACGGTATCTTACTAACTCAAGACGATGCATGTGGCTAAACTTTGAATAGATTTGACTGAAGTTGTAAACCTACTGTATACTTGTCAGAATCAACTTTTTTCAGCTTTTGGAGATAACGGACAACTGGTACTTACAGCACAGTCGAATGGTAAAACTGCTGAAATTCTTACAAGACATACAGCACCTTTTGGTCATCCCAAGGAATTGACCAAAATGTAGGACTACAAACACATTTCAAATGCCCATCTCTTTTAGTTAAAACAGTAGATCAATTCATGTCCTATACAGACTTTGTTAAAGGGGGGGGGGGGGAGCCCGATACAGCAAAGGGACAGAAAAGTAGTATGTACGACCAATCATCCAGTAGTGACTTCCACCTCAAGTACCAATTTGAGTACAGAAACATACAGACAAGATAACAGCAGTTACTGAAACCATGTTTGTGACAGTAGTTTTTCTTTCACCCAATCAGTAGACAAAACCTGGGTATATGTCAATTTATAGCCATAAAAAGCAGACAAGATGCACAGTTTGGTTTGAGTAGTAGTTGATGGTGAGTGAGCATGATGATGGCCACATTTCACCACGAGTAGACTTAACCTGAGCCCCCACCTCACATCTGCAAGGAATATAACATGCACAACACAAGTCAAAATCCCAAAGGCTTATAGCATTATCTGCATTCAATCTATGGCCACACTACGGCGAGTCATGAGACTAAGGCACCTGCAAAATACAGAAACTAAGCTCAAAATGAGCAGGTACAATTCAACCTGTGCTTAGAGGTGTCATCCAAGTTGGGAGAAAATAAAGCACCCATCACTGAACAATGGATATATGGGATGCACAATAGCCTCAGCAGTGTCAGTTCACTGAAAAAAATACTTGCCAGCATAAGGATCTACAGGCAAAAAACAAAACAAAAACAAATCACCAATCACACCACCACCAAGAAGCACCGGGTAGCTCTAAAATACCATAGCATAAGTACAGTGGGGATATATATATATATATATATGAGCAGGCTTCTCTTCAAAACACATTTCTACAACAAAAACAAACACGTATGCATGTTGTTACATGGGTACAACATGTGCACAACGTCTAGGTACATGTGCACGGGAAGAGAAATGAGAAAGAGAAGGAGAAAGGGAGGGGAAAAGGCGGCTTATGTCATCTGACTATTGATTTGACGGCAAAAGTAAAGAACATCTGAAAAGCCTCCCAACCCTGTGCGCATCTATTTGTATAATCCTCGCTGTTCTAGAAATAACGAGTTATAGTGTGGACTGCGCGCACCGTGGGCTAATTCAGAGGAGGAGGAGCTCTTCTTTACTTTTGCCGATTGGACAAACCGACGATCCGGGTGCTGCAAAACTTACCCCCAGCTCCACGCCGTCCTGGGGACTTGGGCTACTGGGGTTTTCTGAGACCTTAGCTTCAGCTTTGGCTGAGCTTTGAGGCTATACAATACAACAACATTGGTGGATGGGGGAGACAAGAAGTAGCATTAGCACTCGTGTTCCGCAACACACTGCACGCACCTTCTCTCAGGCCCGGCTTGTTCTTCGGATAGCGGGTTCAAGTTTGAGCAAGGCACCAAAAAACCCCCACGAAGGATCAAAATGATGCCATGCTGGGCCCTCTCAAGGACACCTTGAGCCAAACATTATTCAATTCCACTACCCATTCTCTCAAACAAAAAAATATATCTCACGTCAAAGGTAGAAAGTAAAATCAGAAATGACAACAGTTGAGGATGAAAACGTTTCAAAATCATCAAACATTTAACAGGATCCCAGGTAAAAACAAATTCATGTGTGATACTTTTTTAAAAAAGAAGAAAAACATTAGAATATGTTATGGTTAATCCAGTATCCACAGTAAATAAAGGAACGGTGAGTACAAAAAAAAAAAAAAGGTGAGAAGGAAAAATTCATGCATCAGTTAGAACAACCGTAATGTTGTATGTAATGAGTACAGTGGGGGGACATGGGACAAATTAACATGTGCATGATAGTCATTCACAATTCCCCTATCAGGACTCAAAGAAGGAAAGCGTGTTCTTACGGACAATCTGTTACCAAGAAAACATGATCTATGTTGACCCAAGGAAGGAAAGTGTGTTCCTATGGACAATCTATTACAAAGAAAACACGATCTCTGTTGACTTAAAGACGGAAAGTGTGTTCTTATGGACTATCTTTTACCAAAAAAAACCATGATATCTGTTGACTACCTTATAACAGCTCACTAGCCGAGACAGCTTACGCAATATTCCTGAGGTTCTATTTTTCTCCAAATGGGCTATTCTTCATGGTAGCAAATGAGTAGCTTTTGGGGGGAATAAAAAGGGTGAAAACTCAAATGTAAGCTTATAAATAATGCTGAAAGAGAACTGCTGTACTGAAAACATATTGAAAGGACTAGTCTAGGGAAACAGATTCACTAAAGGAGGACAGTAGAAAAAACCGGTGACGGTGGGGAAGAAACCTGAAAAATTCAGAACTGAGGAAAATACTGCTGCTCTTTTCACCTACATTCTTCATCTTCAGAGCACTGAGTTGTTGTTTTTAGCAAGTTTCATCATTAATCTTTTATTCAAGAAGAACACTTCAATATCAACTCAATCAAACTTTAAACCCAACGCCAAAACTTACATTGATTCATTACACCTTCTACAGTTAGTTACTACACAGCAAAGGAGATAATGAAAAACAAAATCAAAAATGGAAACTTAAAACAAAAGAAAGCAAATGAAGTCAGAAGTCAGGACAGCACATCAAAATTGCACACAGACTCATAGGTGCCTCTATACAAAGGATGTTTAGTGAGTGGGAGCAGTGAATGATCACATGACAAAATCCGTTCAAACTAGTCGACAACTATGCACAAATACCCATGCGTGAGTCACAGCAGGCAACATTGGACGATTACAATGTAACACTATTACAGAAAACGACTTTGCTTGGATGCCACCGATACAATAACCACTTAAAACCACAGTAAACAACTGCCAGCAATACTGATTTTACCAGGTGCTTTCACAAAAAAAAATTCCAGTTCAAATCATGCAATGTTAGTGAAAACGTGGATGTAAGCATCTATCAAAAGGCAAAAGTTTATCATTGAAATTCCATCCCTTCTCCATGTTCTGGCATCAATCTAAAAACAGCAGTGTGCTTTCTAGCAGTATACAAAAAAATCAACGGTTAAACATTTTTTTTTCTTTTTCAGTACAAAATATTATAATCTATTCAGACCTTCACAGGGAGACCTAACACCACTAGAGACAATAACTGAAAGGTCGGCATCCATTGCAAAGAGCACATTAGGGGCAAAAACAAACTAAAGAGGAAAGGGTGGACTGGTAATGGGGTCAAAAAGAAACTTTAAAAATTCAGTCAACGTCCCACTGCTCCTCCTCATGCAACATTGCTTACAAGAGTGGGTTTTACTAGATGAGCACCTACCCATTCATTGCTTGATTACAAAAAACAATTATGCTCAACTTTCTATTTTTTTCAGTGACCCTTCTTAACGCTATTTAAAAAAAACACAAAAAAAACTGACTGAAATAAGCAGGTAGGAAACACAGAGGAGAAAAAAAAAGAGAACACCCCCCCCCCCCAAATCATCTTCAGATAGCTACACATAATCAGCATACGTACGTTTCCTGGTAGAACTTCATTGCTGATGAGAGGATCTTCATGCTGAGAGCGGTACACCTCTCTTGCCTGTAACACAGAAAAGGATAAGATTTTTACATTTAACAAATTGGAAACTTGACAACTGGCTGAAACTTTAAAGAAAAATTTAACGCATGCATGTAGAGGAAAAGTTTTTAAAAAAAAGAAAAAATTCAACTGCTTCAGTGAATATCAGCAAGAGCAAAACAAACTACAAATTTAAGACCAGTGGGAAAATAAATGAGAATCTTTAGCTCAGTCCATGCCATGGTCAATTCCACGTCGATGCCAAGCAAATTGTAGTCTGACCTACAAACCCGTTGGGGTGATGCTTACTTTGAGGGTTATCATTTTGCCTACATTTTATCAAACACCATCATATCATACGCCAAAATGAAGGAAAATGAATGAGGATTTTTAAAAAGTGAATAAAAATAGAAATAAATATCACACAACATCCTGAATTGGCGCAGTTGCTGTAAACCTATAGTGAAGATACATCGCGGATGGACACAGAATTAAAAAAAAATTTTTTTAGTAGAGGGTTTTACGGCGCTCGCCTCTGCATAAGGTCATATGAGCACCAAGGGGTGGGTGTCAACAGAGAAGTCCTTATAGGGAATCAGACTTACTCTGCTCACCTCTCTAGCTTCAACAGCACACGGTCTGCTTCGACTATCAAGGCACCCTGGAAATAGCAGGTCATAAGAGTGACAAACATACAAAAAAAGTAGAGGAAAATGACAATAGTAAGGATTAGGAAAGAAAAAGCAGCAGTTCCCTGTTGCAGATCAGGCACAATTATGAGCGTGACATGATGAATCAGCCCCTTTACAATTCTACTGTGCTTGAACGAGAAATGTCCCCCCTTTGGGAATGGCCTAAAGACACTTCAGTCAGTGGCAGTGCCCTGGGGGTGGACATGGAATGAGGAGTCTTGGCAAACACATAGCAAGAAAGTACAGACACACAGTTGGATGTCGTCTCTGTCAGTTACAGGCCATTAGAGCAGGCTCAACTGTATAGGACCCGCACAAGCGGCGAGGAATATGTCAGTCGGTTATCATTCTACAGTGTTATTATGAGTAACTACAACTCACTTTCTTTGCCCTTTTTACGGCGCACACTTGGTACACTGGCCTCACGATCAGCAGCACTGGCACCGACAGAAGGGCAATCAGAAGCAGGGTCGTCTGGATTGCTTGCTGTCAAACGGATAAGAGCAGAGTGCGTTACAGAAGCTTGAATAAAAATTAAGGATGAAAGATGCATTTAACATAAAATATGAACAAGTTGAAAATTGTAACCAAAAAAATATTTTAAAAAGTTACTGCCAGGAGTAAATCATAAAAATGGTTTCCCAACCTAAGTTCAACATAAAATCCCATTGAGAACAATGTCAACATCATTAAATGAACAAAAGAAAGACCCTAATCCTTCCCTTTCACTATTTAATTAAAACAAACAAATAAACAACATTTTCATTTTTCAACATGGGAAGAGACCTAAAAACAGAGAGGGAGAAGAAATACTTCAAGGAAAAATAACAAAGATGATGAATTTGATTTTAGTTACTGCACTCCACTCACCTGACCATCGTAAAAAGTGTTATTCGAATCACACGGATTACCAGGAGTTGGGTCGGTGTACTTCAGCATGAACATGTTGATGAAATCTGAAGAGAAAACACATCATCTTTTTTAGTTTTAGTAGAGGTTTTACGGCTCTCGCAACTGAATAAAGTCATATGAGCACCAGAAGATTAGAGGTGTTACAAGAGAGTAACAAACATAAAAAAGAAGAAGGGGGAGATAAGGACGATAGGTGTTTCATAGGAAAGAAGAAGCAAACCACACCAGAGCACCCGCCAACCACCCTCACACATCACCTTAATGAGACCATCATAATACGCATAATTTACTTACCACCTATACCCTGTGACATGAAGTATTTGACATTGTTTTTAAAAAAAAAAAGCAAAACAAAACCGATTATTTCACAACAGCAGGTCCACAAGGATCTTGTCCATTACATAGCAAAAAAGTACTGACACACTGCTGGACATCGTTTTATAGCGTAAACTTAAAATGGATCACCCCCCCCCCCCTCTTCCCACGGTCGATAAAAGCAAAGGCAAAACTGATTATTTCACAACAACAGGTGCACATGGGTCTTGTCCACTAGATAGCAAAATAGCACGGGCACACAGTAAAACATTGTTTCGAAACCTGGATCAATCCTCCCCTGGATAACAAGTTTCCCTGCAATAAAATAAGGAAAAAAGAAGACAGTAACACCCACACATTGGAAACTCTCCTATCATTTATCAGTTATGCCCAAATCACATTGAAATAAAATTACTTTTATCACAAACTTTAGGCCAGATAAAGAATAAAGGTAAAAAAAAAAATCAAACCGGAAAAATAAATGTTGAGTCAGTCGCACAATGAAAAATATCTTTTAAAAGTAAATCACTCACGAATCAGCAGGGAGGGAGCACACATAGAGGTCACGGCATCAAAGGTCAGCCACTTGTAGAAAATCAGGGCCACCAGGTAGCCAAACAAGCAGGTCAAGAACAGCATTTCCGGCAGGAATTTGATCAAGATGTCAATCTTCCTTTTGAAATGGCTGTTGAGAGACCAGAAGATAGGATATGGTGAAGCCTTGACAAAGCTCAAGTTTTATTTTCTTTTTCAGTTTTAGTTAAAACACCTACCAAAACAAACATTAATTTTAGTTTGGAGTTTTGCAGCATTTGCAACACAAATAGGTCACATAAGTGCCAAGATTTGAGGTTTTACTAGGGAGTACCAACTGCAGTGAGGTTACTGAACACACACATTTTACTGGCCATAATGTTTCACAAAAACAAAATGTTCCATCCTACACTACAAAAGGTGTGGGGCGGAGAGGATGGCGGAACAACAAGAGTGGGACTTGCGCTCACCAAGAGGCGTTGATATGACACTGTTCTGTTTCAGTCAGTGTTTCACCACAGCTTCACGAGCGCTCGCGTACTTGCGATTCATTGAAGCCGACTGAATCGCGAATCGCCACTCACAAATTTGACGAGCAGGATCCAGCCCTACTTTGTAGCGTCTACTGCCATTGTTAACGACCAAGACAAATTTCTCCCTTCCAGATGAATAAAGATTGTCATTGTAACACACAAAGAAAAGATAAGGATGGTAGATTTCTTTATAGGAAAGAATGAGCAAACCACACAAGAGCACCCGCCATTCAAAGTTTATTTATTTTCCTGGTCACAATATTCTGAGCATGAACCTTTTGGCCTGACGACACACACTTATGTCTGCATTTACACCTTGATTATAACATGTATAATCAGATTTCTGTTGTTTTTCAAGTTCATAAGAACAACACTGTTATTGCAAAGCAAAATCATGATCATAAATCTGCCGATGAGAGACTTACACGTGGTTGAAGATGCTCAGTACCACACCAAACATCATGTGAATCACACCGAGCACAATTGCCATCTTCATCTTCAACGAGTTCAGAAACATGATCTTGTTCTTCGCCGACTGCCAGATCTGTACGAGGAACAATTAATATTGTGATGATACGCATCTTACTTTTGAAAACAATATACGACCTGCAAGTGACATGGAAACTGCAAAATAACAGGGGAAGTACAGTTCACAAAAGGGTCATCACAGCATCTGAGAATAAGTTTTTAGAAGTCAGCACGTCTACAGACTAGACATTGAAAGATTGTCTTTTCGTGTTTTTCTCATCAATCAGAAATATTTGCTTACCAGTATGACAACTGTTTCCTCCATTAAAAAAAAATTTGATGGCTTAAAACCAGTCCTTTATTTTTCGGTAAAAAATGCTAACATTTACTTATATCTTAGGTGTAAATGTTCATTTATTACATCATGTATTGAACGACAGTGGGTCTGTTTGTGAGTGAAAGCACAGATGATGTGTGCATATGTATATGTATGTGGGACACAGGGGGTGTGGGGCAATATTTGTGTACGCCCATGTGTGTATGGTGAGACAACAAACCAATGTGCCAGTATCTGGAAAAATAAAGATCAATCTTATCTTAAAAAAGCACATCTCTGACTCACCGGGTCCACACCAACCAAGTAGGCCGAGGAGTTGATGTGATAAATAGCAGGATCCAACTCAATCTGCTCATTGTTGAGCAGCTCCTCCTCCCTGTGGATCAAAATTTCACGTTGTAGTAAGCGTTTTACGGCACTTGCAACACAATTAGGCAATATATAAATGCTGAAGATTAGAAGTGTTACAAGAGAGAAACAAACACAAAAAAGAAGGAGGAGAGATAAATATGATAGATGTTTAATTTGAAAGAAGGAGCAAACTGATTATTGTCTACAAACATAAACACTAGCCAATGTTAGCTTTCACAGTAAAATTTACACACACAAAAAGTATAGATAAAAAAGGAACAGAGTAAACATACTGCTCAGGGTGACTGCCAAACTGGCTTCAGGAATGAAAAAATTGAAATAATAAAAGACGGACACTGATTTTACACAATCTGCCCCCCCCCCCCCCCCCAAAAAAAAACAACAACAACAAACCAACTAGACAAACAAACAGCCATGTTTTTTTAAAGTTTTAGTAAGAGTTTTACGGCACTTGCAACACAATAAGGTCATAAAAGTGCCGAAGATTAGAGGTGTCACAAGAGAGTAACAAACATAAAAAAGAAGGAGCAAACCACACCAGAGCACCCGCCAACCAACCACAAACAGCCAGCATCCGTGACTTTCAAAACAAATTCTTTAACAGATACATGACATGACTTCATTAAGCCTTCATTGTGGACTACAAAATGAACAGGGAAGAAAAAAGAAAATCTTTTCAGTCAAGGCTTGCTTTGAAACTGTTGTGTATGGGACATAACAAGGTTATTGTCCATCCCTGTTTTAAGGGAGCTACCTCCCGCCACTTTGAGACACGCGCAGTAGCGACTAGTGGGGTGAGTAATAAAGTGCAGTTGCTGTCCAAGATTGGTGTGGTGAGCAGTTATTCTTGTGCTCGTGTCAGTTAGTGAATTGTTCTGGATTAAAGTGAACCCAAAGTAGACAAACAGAAACTTACGTCATATTGGGCTTCCACTCAGACCCGAAAATGTTGAAGGACTTGGAGAAGGCGTCGTTGTAGATGATACCGGTGTAGAAGGAGAACAGCCCCATCATCATGATGATGTAGCGACCTCCAAAGAAAGTGTTCCAAATCTGAAAGGGTTTGCAAGCGCAAAAGTTGAGTAAAGTGAACATCATGACAGGATTTATATTAGTTTTATTAGCTTAAGGAAGTTTTACGGCACTTGCAGCCCACATGGGTCATCTAAGTGCTGCGGATAAGAAGGATTTTTCAAAAAAAAGTTTTAGTAAGTTTTACCACACTGGCAACACAATAAGTTCATACAAGTGTTGAAGATGAGACGTGATACATGAGAATTATAAACATGTAAAAAGGTTTTTAGTCTTAGTAAGTCTTTTACAGCACTTGCAACACAATAAGGTCATATAAGGGCCGAAGATTAGAGGTGTTACAAGAGAGTAACAAACATAAAAAAGAAGGAGGAGAGATAAGGACGATAGATGTTTGATAGGAAAGAAGAAGAAGCAAGCCACACCAGAGCACCCGCCAACCATCCACCCATGTAAAAAGGAGGTGGGATAACGACGATAGATGTTTGACAGGAATGAAGGAGCGAACAACACCACAGCACCTGCCAAAAACCCACTTATGACAGGTAGCTGCCATGCGAAAACATAATGCTTCCAAATATAACATTCAAACATACAAGAGATATGTAATACTACACCAGTTATACAATATAAAACACAGACAAAATTTAAAGAACCAAAGCAACAGACAAATAAAACAAGAATTTTTTTTTTTGGGTAAGTGTGTTTTATGGCGCTCGCAACTGCATACCGTCATATGAGCGCGCGGGACACATAAAACATTTTCAGTTGGTAGGAAATTTTGAATTTTGCACGGGTGGCGGCCGAAGCCTACTCTGATCTATTTTAGACCACCAAGGGATCTTTAACGTGCGCAACTTGCACATGGGCCCTCTGAGATTTTTTGCCCTTGTCCGAGAAGGCAAGGTGTAGATCTTTCCTACCAGAAGATCAGGGGTGGGGCTGAAAGACAGCAGTAAGAAGGAGCCAAGGAGTAGCAGTAGAAAGGCTCAGGGTGGCCAGGGAAATTTTCCTCCTAAAAATCCTACCACACCAAAAAAAATCCTACCACTGTAAGTCAAGCTGTTTCTTGCCATTGTCAGTGTTACGGCTCTCATCAAAGAGAATCACGTAGAGGGGGTTATTTCGTACACATCTCAGGATAGCCGACTACATCACTGGGGTCATATAAGGGCCGAAGATTAGAGGTGTTACAAATATTCGAGAACTTTTATGTATTTTCTCGGGTCTTTCCCGAGGCAACTAACAGACTTCCTCAAATTTTCTTTTATTGCCGACGTTTATCCAACCAGCCAATTAATGTTCCAAGGTACCCATGTTTTGTGCAACTACACTGAAATCTCAGCTATTTTTCAGCCTGAAAACATCTCATGAAGGAGAAGACTCGTGTCAACAACTGCTCTAGTTGATTACTATTATATTACCGTTGGTGCTCCTTTCAGTATCTCTCACAACACTTGTTCTGTTCTTAAATAGATTTGGCACCACACTGGTTGGTTTGGGCTTTCATGTGTTTTTGAGGTACCATGTGAGTGTTCAAAGCTTTTACACCTGAATGACCGATGACAAATACTTGGGAACAAAATTTTCATCTAAACTTGCTTTTATCATCTGGATACTCCATCAATCATTCTGAATACTTAGGGTTGGACAACCACTCAGTGTTGATGAAGTAGCACTTTCCCATGATGCTGGATCTAGTCTAGATCTCTCTCTCTAATTATAGTCTACACATATATAGTCACAAAAATCATAAGAAAAATAAGTCTGTTTCTAGCCTGGGTTTCAATATGCCAAGTGCCGTCAATCTTCTACTCTCCAAAGACCATCTTGCTGAGTTTTTCCATGGTCAAACGACTATCACCCATCCAATGACACGCCAACCCTTTAGTTCAATAACACAGCTTTCAAGGTATGATGGATCCCGATTCCACACAAGTCCTGCCCAACACGCACTATCCAGAAAGCTCTCATTGCAATCAAAATTCTAAATGCTAATGCTAAAATTTGCTACCAAGTTCAGTTTTTTCCCCTGGTGTTGCCTTTAACCCCCCCCCCCCCCCCCCAGTGTATCCTTAAAAAAAATTAATAATCCCCCCATCCCGGAGTCCTATGCTTCGCAACGCTCAGACTTGGAATGAACTTTAGTAACCCTAACATTTGCGGTACTCACTCGACGCCCTATCATCATGTGTGTGACATACAAACGCGCAGGTTCAGTGACCGGTCACGACGGCGAGACCGACAAGACACTTGTAGGCCTATAACTTTCTTTTCTTTTTACACAAGTGACAAATATAGATTTATTTTCATAGCGACACAGCCTTTGTAATGCACAAACTGCATGTTACAACAATGTATTTCATTGCGACACAGCCTTTGTAATGCACAAACTGCATGTTACAACAATGTATTTCATAGCGACACAGCCTTTGTAATGCACAAACTGCATGTTACAACAATGTTGTGTTATTAGACTTTTACCGGCAAATTTCAGGGTGGTAGTGAAAGCGAAAGTAGATCTAGATTTTCCCAATCGGGCCTCGGCATCACTCGTACACTTCCGCTTGCCGCCATAGACGCCTGTTCGCATGAAACGTACTCTCAGACCGGGAAAAGCTGAATGATCGCGACCAACAAAATGAACTTAGGGACGTTATTGGATTTGGTTTTCAAATATTCGAGAACTTTTATGTATTTTCTCGGGTCTTTCCCGAGGCAACTAACAGACTTCCTCAAATTTTCTTTTATTGCCGACGTTTATCCAACCATTTCCGTCGGAACAAAATTTTTCCTACAAAAATCCGACTTATCCAACCTAAACAAAAATTTCCGACTTCCCCGGCCACCCTGAAGGCTGCAGAAAGAGTCACGAGCCCAGAGTAGGGGGCAAACGAGGTGAGGGGGTGGGGGCAGAAAGAGGAGACGAAAGCAGACGACAGAACATTGCTAGAGAGCAGGAAAGGGGGTGAAAAGAAAGAATTTTCAGAGAAGAAAATTTTTCGCTTGCTACCCGGATTCGAACCCGGGACCTTTGAATGAGAGGCCAACACCTTAACCTCTAGGCCACGACAGCCCCCTAACAAGAACTGGACAAACATGGTTTCAGTATACTGAATGATCTAACCTCATTTGAGATTTTCTTGGCAGCCAGAGACTTCTCCGATATGCACATCCACAAGCCAAAGAGGAACATGATCAGACCATGACCAGCATCGCCAAACATGACAGCAAACAAGAAAGGGAAAGTGATGCAAGTGTACGGGGCTGAAATGACACGACGAAAAAAAAAGAAGAAATTTAAAAAGAGTTTTAGTGAACATCAATAAATATTTATACAGCAAAAACAAGATATAACAGCCACGGACCCAATGCAAAAACTGATCCCATTGTATAATGTTTGCTATTGATCAACAAGAATCAATATTAAAAAATGATAAAGGTTATACATACCAAACACTTATGAGTAGATTCATTCTTTTAAAAATAAAAGAAACTTTATATTTCTGGTTACGAACCTGGGAAAAGTCTGGAAGATTCCTTAACAGCTCAATTTTCACTAAACTGAAAAACTCTGAGGGTAATAGGGTTTGAACTGAAATTAAAGCAAATGCAACAACTTGTAGAATACTGACAAAGTGGAAATCTCTTCATTATCATACCTGGGTTGACCTCCTGGTATGTGCCCACACCGTAAGCATCCACAATGTTCTGGAAGCCCTTCACAAACTTGTTGGAATTGTAGTACGTGGGAGGAGCTTCGTGCGTGTCCATCGGCTGGATGACACTTGGGATAGAACTGCCACTGACTTTCTGCGAATCAATAAAAATTAGAAAATGAAAAAAAAAAACCCAACTAGATAAATGTACTTCTGTGGATCAATAAAAATCGGGCTGCAAATGAAAAAGAATGAGATAAAATGTACAAGGACTTGAGGTGTAAGAAGACAGTAAATACACATAAAAGATGCGATTACACAATACCATATTATGAATAATCACTTCCTTTCTCATCCTGAATCAGGCCTGTAACTAACATTTTTCACCTTTCCCTATCCTCGGCAAGCCTCTTGACATTATGTCATGTCTTTCTACTTTTCTGTACATTTATAGTATATAGATACCAATATATCTTATAGAATCTGAAAGGAAAAAAAAAAAAGAATTCTCACTCTTGTTTAAAAAATAGACTGCTATGTCTTTCAATTTCTGCCCAATTCAGACATACAATACAAACACACCAAACAACAATCAACACCCCCAAGTATTAGTAGAAAGAACATCCTTCCATCGCTTTTCTTTCAGTGCCTTTTCAAAAAGAAACACAAGACTAGTACAAGTCTAAAGTGGATGGAGCCACTAAAGATAAACCTAAATCAAAGACTCAAAGACCCGCTCAGAGAATCATCATGCTACAAACCTCTCCCAGACTGAGAGCATTCCTGATGTCATCTATGGCCCGTAGAGGAAACCAGCACTCGGCAATAAGGCTGTTCTGGTGCACTTTGAACATGTTCATTGTGTGGTAGATAGCCTTGATCTTCTCAACCTTGATGATCCAAGAGCGAAGTTCTTTCCGGGCATTTTCCAACACACGGAGTCTGTGATCTCTGCTCTGAGCTAAAACCTGGAGTGGAGTTAAACAAAACAATATTGAAGATTCAACTAGTTTAAGATTACAACAAAAAAAAACCCCGCCAAAATACGCCACACTCAAATTAGCATATCGATGGTAACAGTTACAAACAATGCAAGTTTGAAAACATGGAAAGCCGAGTGTCTAGCGTGCCAGGAAATGGATCTACACATATATTTTGCGGAAATGCTGTATTGAAAGATTTTCACCCCGTAAACTTGCACAACATTAAGAGGATTTCCAAGTGATTTTTTTCCAGACACAAATAAAAATTGACCCCATTTTAGACCTATATGGCCAACATCCCTTTCTTCACACATGCAATAAAAACTTATTTGTGTATTTGAGCATGAGTGCATATTAGTGTGTATAGAAGAAAAAAAGAAAGAATAGGGGTTAATTAAACATCTCAAACAGTTAACTTATTGACTGAAAGAAGGCCAAAGTAAGCACTGTAAATTAAGGAGAGTATATTAAAAAATGTTTTCAGTTCTGTCAGATACTGGAAGAAGAAGAAAGAATACAAATTAAGTTAACAGAAGGGGTCTGCTAAACAGATTGCAGAACTGAACATTTCCAGAACAATAAATTCCAAGATTACTTTAACAGACTTACATTTTCCAGGTCAGCTAGTCTAGTGGTGACACCAACCAACATGTCAGCTCTTTTTCCCAGATCATCAGGTAAAGGATAGACAGTCCCTCTCAGTCTGAAAATAAATAAACGCAAACAAAATATTTAAAAAATTTTTTTTTAAAAACCCAATTGAATATTTGCCTAAAAATGTCTGCATGGTGGCGAAATGCTCGATAGATCTCTTTATTTGTGTGCATTTATGTCATAATTCTATAAGCACTAATTCAAGGTCCACAACTGAAGCAAGAATAAAAATCACATTGAACACAAAGTTTACCATATCTTATGAAGCTCCCATTTGCTTCTTGAGTATTTTTTGTCCACACCTCAAATTAATTCCCTTAACTATAGTCTACTTACAAAGAGAAAATAAAGCGAAGACAAAAGAACGTATTAAAACACATAAACAATTCATTCAAAACAAAGGACAGGTTAGGTTTTGTGAACCCAAATAGCCAGTAGGTACCACATCGGAGTCTACCTAATAGTGTCATCCATGTTAGTCAATAAGTTCTGAGGAAGAGCTTTTCTTTACTTTTAGCAGTCCGACAAACCGATCAACCCGCTCCATGCCAACCTGAAGAGCTGCTAAAATTTTCTGACGCACTAATTCACACCAACTTACCCTTCACACACTTTTTTGCACTTGTTCTTCAGCTGGTCTCCTTGGTAGAACATTATGAACATGCTTTTCTTCAGCATATCACCCTGGCAATAAGAAAAAAAAAACAACCCAAAATGTTTCACATGTCTTCTAAAAAGGAACAGACTGCAACCAAAAAGAAAACCCCCACATTGAAACCAAATACTAGTCAACCATAAGAAGTCAATTTTTTTGGGTAAATATTCTTAACTCCCCTACAGTTTCTATGGAAATTTTTTTTTAACGAACAAACAAACAAAAATAATAAATTAAATAAGATATTAAATAAAGCATTACAATAAGCAGCCTTATAAAAAACACTACAACATACATCTCTAACATCATATCTTTATAGTCTCAAATTTAACACAAATTGCTATTACAACTCATCATGAACCTACAGTGATGGGATCCTCCAAAGGCTGGGCTATTTCCTCAGTGCGCAGGTACACGTTGCTGTGTGTCACAAACTTCAACACTCGCTCAAACACTGGGACTTTCTCACGTAGGATGGTACCAACATGATAGCTGCCAAGACGAACAGAAAATATAAAAACATAAGACTTTAGTTCATTTCATGAAAGTACAATACATTGACATAACCAAAATGTTTATGTGGGCATCTCAATTTCCGGGACAAACGGTTTTTGAGCTAAGGTGAGCTTCATCGTCACTGGAGCAGAAACCAAACATTGACTTCTCCATACTTAACAAAGCACAACCCAGGGGAAACCCCCCCAGATTATATAGAAACTTAGATTAAGCCAAAGAGAAGCTTATTATTCTTTTTTTCTCCCTTGCTGCAGTAAAGAAACAAAATATGCTCTGCCAGTTTAAAGGATCGCCACCCATGAACCGACATTAGGAAAAGATATACGAATATGGTTTCAGTATATATCACACTAACGGAAATTCTCATGCAACACATAATATGTAAATTAGGATGTAAAGACAGAAAAACCCATCTTGTGCTTTTTGACATTAGACATTCCAACTTCTTCACCAACACATCTGCACGCCTCAACACACGTAATGTAACAAAACTTAGACCTGCATGTGAGCCTCAACCAGATTGTCTGAAAATTTTGCGCAATGAGAGCTTTTGACGAGTGTCAAGAGGAAGGACTTCCGAGTAACGAGCGACCACCCCAACAAACACAATAAAGAAGAGACCCAACCCTAACCCTACCCCAAAAAAAGAACCTGCAACGTCCCTCATGTAAAAAGGCCAGCACAAGTCCAAAATTTAAACAAATTAAAACATCACACTCCAAAATAAAAAAGGAGCATAATATGGCCTCCATCTACATTGCTACTAGATTCTCTATAATAGTAGGGTTTGATTGATACAATAACACAATAGAATTGGAATATATGAATCTTTCATTATATATATATAGATCTAGATCTGATCTAGATCTTGTAGAACAAATGAATAGGAATAGGCCTTGAACGAGAAATCCGCATCCGATTCTGAACAGAGGGACTCAGCTGAGTCTAGAACTAGAATCTAGATGTAGATTCTAAATAAATAAATAATTCACGCACCTGATGAAATGCTTTTTACCAACATTAACATTACAGCACAACCTATAATAGGGTTTGACACGAAAGAATTGGAATAAGCATCCTCCATTGAGGTCTATAATGATCTTTACTCTATAAATCTAGTTTTACACTCTATTAAAACAAGTGAGTCGGACTTGAACAAATCCACATGATCTGAACAATTGAATTAATCAACAAACGAAATTCATAATGGCCGCTCGAGCACGAAACTGAAAGTAGATAATTTAGGTCGTCATCCTTTTTCGTATTCGCTTTTCTACTCAGATTCCGACAATTATGTCGGAAACGCCGACGTCGGCACGAAAACGAAAGTGTCGACAAAGCCGACGGGAGAAAAAGGGGGCGCTGGCAGTCGGCCAGGCCTCGCACAACGCAGATTGACTACTAATACAGGTGGGCCTAGCGATAGCATCGGCCGGCTCGCGGGTCGGGTCGCGATTGTCGGATTTCAGACGATTGTCGGCAAACATGCAGGTCTAAAAACTTACCCAAGAGCTGCAGCTGGAGGGGCCCTAGAAGTGCCAATCACAGCTTCTTCGTTTTGAGGAGGTTGAGCGGGTGCATCTCCATCCATAATCTGTTGGATGTCTTGACCGTACTGTAGAAACAAAGATGCCAGGAACTAAGTCCCTGCAGCTCCTAATTGTACTCACCATATCAACATTAATTACTTTGTCAGCCATCTTCCAGCAGAGAACAATACAATGAAACTCCATCCTATGATGTTTTAAGGCCTGACCTTCAATTTCACAGAGTCCGAGTTTCAAGTGAAATAAAGGTACACCTTACACAGGCATATTTTAGCGACAACAACAGGAATATCTGTCCTAGCTGCTCTACAGAGCAAGTATTATAAGAGTAAATAACCAGTGGTGCTATCAAACACTTGTTTATGCGAGTAGTTGCTCCCTTCTCTTTGGAATTGCCTCCCATGAGCTGCTGTTTTTCTCTACTTAATATTCTCTACATCTTTGTGCGTCTCAGTTCAGAGAATGAAAGTTTCACTGTAATTGTAAAAAATCCAGAACACAATGTGACAATGCCATGACTATGTTTCATAAAGGTAAGAAAAAGACAAGTATCATCATCTTGAGGTTGGATTAGTCCTAAAAATTAATGTATCTATCAATCTATTAATAACAGCAGAGTTTACCCCCAAAAAAAAATTGAACGAAGTTATTAACACAACTTGTATTATTTTTAATTACATAATATGTAACTTGTCTTCACAGGTCTCTTGTGACCGCTGTTAGAATCTGCAAACATTTATCCCATTTATTCACTTACAGCTTGTAAGTAGTCACGGGTCTTGGTCAGCACCTCCCTCAACTCAGTCAGCTCAAGGTAGTTCTGCTTGATGGCTTCGTTGTTGGTGTTCACCTGGCGAAGCTCATTGTCCATCTTCTCAAACTCCACCTGGACATGGGAGAATTATAATAAATAATAACAATTGCATTTATATGCCACATTTCCACGCACTACAGCATGCTCTTTGTGCTTTACCAATCTTTCCCACATGAATTATCAACACTACCTCAACCAGCACAATACCATTCATTACAACTTATTAAAAACACATGAAAGCCTCAAGTAAACCAAATTCACCAAGAAAAAAAAAATTTCATTGCGAACCATTTTACTTTTCGAGTTGCCATTTGGATAAGATCTATGTTAAGTAAAATTAAAGAAATTCTTAACCTCTTTGGTAGGATACTATAAACAATTTTATAAATGCAACCACAGCTAGCTGGAAACTCCACTGCAACCGAACAACTTTTTCAGAACAGTTTAGGTGGCACCATGAACCTAAATTGATGGAAAGCATATCTTTACCATGGCGATGTTAGAGTGAAAGAACAACAAACAAAAAGACAAAATTGTAAGAATTTGACCCTGGATAAACCCAAGGGCCTACTACATACGACAAAAATACACAGCAATCTCTATCCACAATTCAAGACATTTTACAAGTATCCTCCACAGTGAAACCACAAAATAATTTCGCACCAGAACATGAAACCCTTTCAAAGAGCTTAAACACACTCCATGACACGCTCAATCACAAACTTATAAATCCATTCCTCAAATTAGTGTCATAATTTGACATCAACTTTTTCAGAGGATACATAAATCCTGATATGATCAAACTAGAACAGTTGGCATTAGCTAAAATTTAGAAAAACGAAAATATCAAATATAAAGAACACTCCAAATAAAAGTGTTCTTTCAGTCAACAATACATACTTCAACCAGTAGGACTAAATAGATAAGACAAGCAATAAAGATAGATACAACTAAATCACACACACAAAAAAAGCAAAGTACTTGCCTCTAAATCATTCATCTCTTTTGGAAAAGGAGCCTTGGGATTTTCTCCGTAATCAGGGATTTTCCAGTCCTCTTTTAAGATCTCTTTCTCGGTGTAGCCTGTAGCATGTAAAAACACATGAAATCAACATCTTCAAAAAAAAGTTTTAAAAATATGTATGAAAAGTCACAAATTGCCTAAATTTCAATTACATTTAAAATGTCAACTGTACGCAAACAATATCAGCAAAGAAGGGGCCTCAGAAAAAACCTTTACAAGGTACAAAAATCAAACAAAATTCATCCTCATTTCGCTTATAAAAGAAAAGACATTTTCACCTTTAGCCCATTTCTTTACACTGCTGACACAGACGAAGCATTGAAAAAATCAACCACAGCATACCATCAGAACACAAAGAAATATCCAAAATAACATCCAACATGTCAATTAAAGCTCAGACTCCCGAGAAGACACTTACGAAGTTTTCTTTCCATCTCTTCACACCGCCTCACTTCATTTACAAATGTCCGTTGGAAAGCATTGACATTTGCATTCAACTGAGGATGAACATAAGTTGATTGAATTTGAGTTTGGGACCAAGTTCCAAAACATTAAAATTCAAGAGAGAATGAAAGCAACCAACAAAAGCATACCATTTATGATTTTCATCAGATTCCACACACAAAATTATGAATCCGACCGGTTACTCACAACAAACAAAACCCTTTTGATCAAAACTTTCTTTACTTATGAAGTTTCAAAAAGTATTGGCAGATAAAACGATCAAAAACATGTAATCTTACTCAGTCTTAAAAAACCCACAAAATTATAAAATATCAAACACTCACATCTTTAAACTGTACCAGCCCGATCTCACCCAGCTCTGAAACACAAGCATACGCAGCTTCTGTTTGCAGAAAGAGCTGGCACAGTCTCATCTCTTCACTTCGAAATAAGGAGCCCATGTTGACCTGTTGTAGTAGTAGCTGAGCTACACAGCGATTCACCCTGAGGAAAAGTAACGACAAAAATGACGGTGAAGCACACTAACAATCATTAATAAGAAGAAGGTTTAAACTATAAAACAATCTGATTTCTTCCCCTGACAGCTCTCAGCCTACAAGACCTGTGCACCTGACCAAAAACTCATATGGAGTAAAATTTGGTGGTCCCCTTCAACCTGAGGCATTCACTTGCTCTAACTCACAAGCTTCTAAAATGTACTAACACTGTTAGAAAGTTGCTTTTATCACAAGTTTCTGTAGAAGCATTTTCGTTATTTAATTAGGTGTATTGGGTGGAAGTATTATTCTCATGACCTTGTTTTGAAACATACGAAAGCTGTCCTCAAGCTTGGAGACAAGAAGATCAGACTTGCCAACTTCATGTCAAAAATAGGAATTATCATCAGCATCCTCCCAAAAATTCTGGAGTCTTGGGGAAAAAAGTCCCTAGAACCCCAGTAGAATCACATCACATTACAAACCAATCAAGGCCACTGGCGGTGGGTGGACCAAAATCTGGGTGGGGCTTAGGTTGCTTCCAGTTCTTTGCCACCAAATAGCAAGCAATAATGAACCAAACAGTGATGATTTTTCTATACTAACGGTGAGCCACAGCATTTTGAGAACCATTCAAACGAGAGGAGTTGCCTTTGTTTTCCATCTCTTTGTTCTTAGTTAAATTCTTGTTGATGGTGGGGACGAAGCCGATTCACCTCCAAATTTCCTCTAATTAGTTTTCTTGTGATGAAAAAGTTGCCTTAAAAGTAGTTCGACCTGATTTATATCTGTTAAATCTCAGAGGCACAAACACAAACATGCACACACGGCACTTCAAACATAATACTTCTATGAGCTGGATTAGGCCGTGTAGTCGAGAAAGTTGAACACACCCAAAAAAGAACCAATGAGCGCATAGGTATCTGTGTCAGTGGGGGAAAGTGTGTCGTAAACTTTCACCCCATTGTCAGGGCTAGGAGAGCATGAGCCCTCGGTACAGTGTTATTTTTTCCAAGTCTTCTACCTTTTTACCACAAGAGTTTCATTAAGGACGGACTGTGGGAAAAGGGCTCATCTTCGCTGAACCCTACAGACATTTGATTGGCTGCTGGGTTACTATAGTTGTAAGCCGTGACAACAGTGATTGGATAAGCGAGCAAGCTGCCAAGTTGATCACTCTGTGTTCATTGCCTGCGGTCATAACGATTTCAACTGCTTATTTCATTATGGAGAAACTTTCGTTTTTTGGGGGGATAGAGTTGGGGATGGTGGGTGGGGAGGGGGTAGGGGTTCAAGCCCGTGAGCCCTTCACTACCCACCGCCACTGATCAAGGCAAACAAATATATATTGCACCAGCACACATTTGCACTGTTTTGGGGGGCTAAACTGACACATTTTAGCTTCAGAACACACATATTTCACAAAATGAAGCTCCCGTACGCATAGCATCGAGGCTACGTGTACAGCCCTCCACTTCACATAGTAAGCTAGGCTATGTAGGCGGCACATAAACTATCGGTAAATTTTTACTTTCATTCCCACACACAGATGCACTGCTTCGGGGGTCAAATTGCAGTACTGTTTGCTGCAGATCACATATAAAGCCACTAAAACTGTCCCAAATCAATTATTTTCAAGAAAATTTCAAATCTAATTAACTGTAAAATATCAAATTATGGATTAACCCCCCAATTTTTTTTTACCCTAAGGGGGCACCCCTGGAACCTAACCCCCCCCCCCCCCCCCGATTGGTCCAAAGCACGTTTATCTCTATTAAAAACGGAAGTGGCTATTCTCACCCTGGGTGAGAATAAAAATACGATCGACCTCTCACCCCGGGAGAGACTGTCAACGTTGGTTATTCTCACCCGGTGTGAAACAAGACCTGTTTTTCCTAATTTCTGAATATTACCTATAGGTGTTGATGATCAAATTGACAAAAACAAAGTAAAAAATGATGTTATAGCACAAGTAAACTAATTTGGTTGTCTACAAAGATGCTATGGCTATTTCACATTTAGAATCGAGCTGAACTACGTGGGTCGCCATTTTGTTTTGCCCGGAAGTTCTCGCTTTACTCCTCACTCTCTCTCCCCCCCTCTCTTTCTCTCTCACTACCTGCAGACAAAATTGCACGCTTTCAACATAAGAGCGCTGGAACCTTTGTTAAAGGTGAACGCTATACTGGTTGGCCTATCACAGTGAACGCACATCGGGTGAGAATAGCCAAAAGGAATAGAGGTGGCCATTAAGAACGATCAGATATTCCAAAAAGTATTAATTTGCGACGGAAATAAAATTGATATTTGTGTGTAGAAAATGGACAACTGGTAGCCAAGTGTGAGATGGGAGGGAAAGTAAAAAAATGCCAAACTATCAAACCGGACACTACAAGTGGACAAACTTAACCCTGGAAGCATGCAGGCCCTATATAAAGTAATAAAGGGCGTGAGGCGGGCTATCCAGGAAGAGCACAGGCCCTATATATAAAGGGCATAGAAACTGACCCTTTTCAAAGGAAAATTTCAGTATTCCTTATGTGGAAAATGTAGTAAATTACAGGTTAAAGTTATAAATAGTGACCAATGACTTTGCAACTTGTTACCTTGACCTCGTAGAGCGTCTCTGAATAAGCACTGAATTAGATCAAGACAATCAAGATAGTCAAACTTAGAAACTTTCTCAAGATGCGAGGAAGCCTAGATCTAAAACCTAGAGATACAATAGACTTATCTACCTAGGATCTAGATCTACTTAGAACACAAGTTACAACACACGTTTTAATTCATGGCCATCTCTGTTCTCACCCGGTGTGCCTTCATCGTGTGATAGGCCAACCACTGTAGGTTTTCGTCCAGTTTTCTTTCGATTGAGGAGATTCATCGTCTAAAAGCCACTGTCTCTTTGCGACGACAGCGATTTAGTTAGTTAGTAGTATAGGGTTTTACGGCGCTCGCAACTGCATAAGACAGCGATTTGCCTGTAGATAAATATCTACTCTACTCTATACAGTAGAACTCGGATTCAACGAGGTCGTTGGGCCTGACCTAAAATCTCGTGGAATCCTAGTGTTCGTTATAGCAAACACGAGTTTTTGTGTGGATAATTACATGCAACGAGCGAGTAATGTATAAAGAGAAGTCACAAGTAGTGCCTGAAATGCCTGCATATTATGAGCTGTGTAAAAAAAAAGACTGATTCGTTCAAATACACAAGCCTGTGTCATCTCGATTGTTTACCAAGAAAAAGTTGTGTTGCTGTGTAGAGCCGATTATACAGTAACTTTTGACACCATAGACCAGCGCACAATTCATTACGTAGATCTACGCCAACACTAGCTTATTATTGTAATAATGATCAGTAGTCGGGGGAAAAAAGACTGACGCGTATGCGCCGTTCAACGCCCAGACCGCAAGTGCCCCTCCTCCCCGATGCGCACACACAGCCACATGTGTGAAGGCTGCCCATCCGACCCCGACACACGCTAACGAGCCATCTTTAATTGCTTCTGACGACCTCTTGACAAATAAACATTTATTAGAAGCGCAATACTTTTCAGGCCGGCCTCAAATTCATCATAAGATAAAAACTCGGCTCCTGCACTAAACGCCATTTTGCCCGAAGTGATCCCGGTCTCTACCAAGCCTAAGGCGAGTCACGAGTGAGGCAGGACAGGAACCCGGAGTCACAAGTCTTAGGAAGATGGGAAGTCGGAAGTGATGTCATGCTGGACAAGAATCAGAGTCCGAATAGTCACTTCGTTTTTTTAAAGTAAGGGGTTGCACCCCCCTTACCTTGTGAAAAACAAGTGAATTTTACTGCTCATTTTGTAGGCTAGATTTACATCTAGTCTAGATCTAAGGTACTGATAAAACATAACGCCACCCTGGGTGAGAATAACGCAGGCGCGCCTTTTGGCTATTCTCACCCGGTGTGCGTTCACCCTGAACCACAGAATTCTACACTGTGACTGTGATAACAGAATTGTAGAATTCTGTGCCGTGAACAAATGTTCCAGTGCTCTTGTGTTACTATACTGCTACTGTTAGCCTAAAAGCGTGCAATTTTGTATGTGGACTGTGGGCAGTGGAGAGAGGAGTAGCGCGAGAACTTCCGGGCAAAGAAAATGGCAACCCGCGTAGTTCGGCTCGATTCGAAAAGTAAAATAGCAATAGCATCTTTGTAGACGATCAAATTAGCTTACTTTTGTGCTATAACGTTATTTTTTCTCCCTTTTTTCTTAGCTTTTGTCAATTTGATCATCCACACCGATAGACAGTATTCCAAAATTAGGAAAAACAAGTCTTGTTTCACACTGGGTGACAATAGCCAACACTGGCAAGTCTCACCCGGGGTGAGAGGTCGATCGTATTTTTATTCTCACCCCAGGTGAGGATAGCCACTTCCAAAACATAAAACATTGATACGGACGGTAAATTTTTACTTTCACTCCCGCACACAGATGCACTGTTTCAGGGGTCAAACTGCTGTACTGTTTGCTGCAGATCACACATAAAGCCACTAAAACTGTCGCAAATCAATTATTTTCAAGACAATTTCAAATCTAACTGTAAAATATAAAATTATGGGTAAAAACCTGTAACCCCCCAGATTTTCTTTTACCCCAGTGGGGCAGGCCCCCCTAGAACCCCCCGATTGGTCCAAAGCATGTCTATCTCGGTTAAAAACAATCAAATATTTCAAAAACTATTAAATTGCGACAGAAATGAAGTTGATATTCGTGTTCAGCGCATCAATATTTAGTAGAAAATAGACAACTGGTAGCCGAGTGTGAGACGGGAGAGAAAGTAAAAAAAATACCAAATGGATATTATTACGCCAGCCTACTTCAGCCACTTTTGTACAACCTTAATAAAATTTAGCAATTTAGGCTACGCAAGAAGGGACCTTTAGTCTAAGTCTAAGGGGAGTGTATAGCAATGCCAATCGGGCTTTCCCGCGAGGCGAAAATTTGGTCCCCGTTTACGGGCGATTTTGCGGACCCGGCCGACGAGTAGGTGACTAACTTTGTCAACCTCGGTCTGCTCTATTTCCGAACCAATCCGAATGAAACTCGGCTACCAATCAGAAAATAGGGCAAACTAATGATATGTGGATGTTGAAGTTCGTACACATAAATTAACCTATACTTTTGGTGTCGGGAACACTTTCGTATCGTGTACACCGAAAACTATAAGGAGTTTGAATTTCAACGCCCAGATGGTAATAGATCTATCTATCCTCTATAGTGTGCTCAAATTAGAGAGTTCTGTGTCAAGTAGTTGTTTAGACCCGATCGTAAATCTACGACTACCCCCCTACCCAAAGCGGCTTCGCACGGAGACCGGCCATTTTCCCCTCACTCCCGTGGCAAATGTCTGTGACCTACAAATCCCCGCATGACTATTCCGGGCCCGTTCATTGGTCACTTGAAATAGGGCAATGGCGGGCGCGCGCATCCGGTTGTTTTTCTCTCTATTCCCCTGTAACATCGCAATGGGGGTATTCCGAGGCGAGGTTATCTCGTCTCGGGGTGTTCGCGTCTCAACGGGGAAAAAGAATTTTTAATTGTACGGCATGCTAGATTGAATTAACTTATCTTTTACGGTCGGCATGGTCTAAAGTCATCATAAAAAGCTTTGCAATTATTTAGTCACGCTGCCGACATATATTCTTAAAGATCCCATGTTGTGATACGATGCTATAAATAAAATGGACTCATCCCGACACCCCTTTTTCGCAAAATCGTAATATGTACACCACAATTTTAATTATAACAAAATAACTACGAAATTGGTAGTAAATCTGACTGCAGAAATGATTTCTACACTCAAAAACACATCGGGTAGCCAAGTTTCTCTCCAACATTTGGATTAGTTACCGAGATATCGTCGCTTTTCTTACAGAATCTGCTACTGCGTGGTCCACTTTTTAGGAGTATTTTCCTATATGTGGGTCATCCATATTTTGCCGACCTTTACAACCCCATAACTTTTTTATTTATGAACCGTTTCTCAAAATTCAAGAAGCATGATTATCAGAATTGAAAATTCTTTCTTAGGTACCAAAAAAAAGGGGGCAAAAGTGAAAATTTAAATTTTCATTGGCATTGCTAGAGTGTATACAGACCCGGTAACCGGGAACAAAGTCACAAAGTATACAGACCCGGTAGGGGAACTCTTTTGTGATTTCTGAAAGTTTCAGCGCCCTCTTGGCTCAGGGTAGACCTAGGTTCTTCTAGATCTATGGCCTAGGTCTAGATCTAGACAGACAAACACAAGTGACAAATCATAGATCTAGTTTCGAGGCTAGCCTAGATCTAGATGTGTAGATGAAGATTGCGGATGTCTTTTCGAAGAACGATCGTTTTTCCTCCGTTTTGGAGTTGAAGGAATTACAATTTGAAGAAAAGAACAAGGGAGTGTATACAGACCCGGTAACCGGGAACAAAGTCACAAAGTATAAAGACCCGGTAGGGGAACTCTTTTGTGATTTCTGAAAGTTCCAGCGCCCTCTTGGCTCAGGGTAAAAAAACTAGGTTCTTCTAGATCTATGGCCTCGGTTTAGATCTAGACCGACAGATATAAATCATTGATCTAGTTTCGAGGCTAGCCTATATCTAGATCTAGAATCTAGATCTAAATCTAAATGAAGATTGCGGATGTCTTTTCGATGAACGATCGTTTTCCCCCCGTTTTGGAGTTGGAGGAATCACAATTTGAAGAAAAGAACAATGTCATAATTTAAATCGAGCAGTCACCCCCCCCCCCCTCTCTCTCTGTCTCTGTGTATCGCTCGCATTCTCTTTTTCTTTGTTTGTCTCTGTCTTTCTTTCTCCCCTCGTATTTCCCACTCTATCTTTCTCTCGTTCCCTCCTGCCAACTGTGTTATAATACATTTTGCTAGCACTTCCATCTGCTCTCTCTCTCTCTCACTCACTCACACACAAACTTTCCGAAATCGCAAAAGAGTTCCCCTACCGGGCCTGTATACTTCGTGACTTTGTTCCCGGTTACCGGGTCTGTATACACTTCGAAAGAACAATGTCATAATTTCAATCGAGCTGTCATCCTCTCTCTCTCTCTGTATCGCTCGTCTTTCTTTCTCCCCACCTATTTCCCACTCTATCTTTCTCTCGTTCCCTCCTGCCAACTGGGGCATGTCATACATTTTGCTAGCACCTCTCTCTCTCTTTCTCTCTCACACACACACACACACACTGCCGGGTCTGGGCGCTGAAACTTTCCGAAATCCCAAAAGAGTTCCCCTACCGGATCTGTATACTTCGTGACTTTGTTCCCGGTTACCGGGTCTGTATACACTTCGAAGTCTAAGATAGACCTAGATCTAGATTAGATTCTCTCTAGATTCTACATCGAGATTTTCTGGTAGAAATTATTCCCTCCCGTCTCACACTAGGCTACCAGTTGTCTATTTTCTACTAAATATTGATGCGCAGAACACGAATATCAACTTCATTTCCGTCGCAAATTAATAGTTTTTGAAATATTTTATTGTTTTTAACCGAGATAGACGTGCTTTGGACCAATCGGGGGGTTCCAGGGGGGCCTGCCCCACTGGAGTAAAAGAAAATCTGGGGGGTTACAGGGGGGCATGCCATGCCCCCCTGTTTTTACCCATAATTTTATATTTTACAGTTAGATTTGAAATTGTCTTGAAAATAATTGATTTGAGACAGTTTTAGTGGCTTTATAACAATAATAACATGCATGATCTGCAGCAAACAGTACTGCAGTTTGACCCCTGAAACAGTGCATCTGTGTGCGGGAGTGAAAGTAAAAATTTACCGGAAAGTCTAATTGTCATTTGATATGAATTGCGACTGATTGTTAATTGATTTTCGTTGGTTTCATAATCATCACCCATGCCATGGCATGCGACAATCAATCATGCGACAATCAATCGTCAATCGTCACAGAAAATACAACTTACAAGAGTCCCAGTCCCAGAGCAGAGACAGGAACAATAACTAAATAAAAGATCCGCATTTAATAATAATATCATAACCTTGTATTTCTTATTCAGCAACTTCTTACCGTTCTAAACCTCAATTATCATGAACTTCAAGGTGATCCCTGCTTGAAAACTTGGCGAAGTGTTCAGAACTTGTCTCCGAAGTTTCAGTCGATCAGGTGAAAGTTTTGTTCCTGTCATGTGATAAAGAAACGGAAGTTGTTGTGTCTTGTGAGCGTTTATCTAAACTAATCGATAAATATATAACAACCGGGGAAAAAGGCCAAAAGTTCAAATCAAAAGTTAGATACAACTTACTGATTATTCAAGTGATAAAAATCATATCTTTGACTCCAGTCATTGTTCTTAAATACTGAGAGAGTATTACATTGTTTGAACATGTTTGTATCTATTTATCGATCATATAAAGGGGAAATAAGTCAAATAATATAACTGTTTTTGTGTGTTTCTAATTCTTCCCCTTACCTTAGGCCTAAAAACCTCCTGACTTGGCCTACTTCCGTGAAGAGGAAACACAGTCAATATCATGCATCATGAAAATAAAGAAAATAAATAAAATGGGAATTTTGTGGGCATTATCTTTTTCTTACTTACGTTATACTGATCGGACACAGCTGTTTTTTTTTTCTCAAGTTAGTAAACATAACTTTGTTCAGTGTGCCAATATGTGATGGAAAGAGTTGAGTAGAGAGCATAGATGTACAAAAGGAGGTAACTCTATGGTAGAGAGCGAGAGCGATTGAGAGAGAGAGACTATGAGAGAGAGAGAGAGAGAGAGAGAGAGAGAGAGAGAGAGAGACAGACAGACAGACAGACAGACAGACAGACAGACAGACAGACAGACAGAGAAAGACCGGGAGGGGGAGAAGGGGGAAGAGGGGTGGGGGATTATTGTACTGCGTACCAAGGCAGAGCAACATATCTGCTCTTTTTATGATTTTGAGTTACGTCGCACTGCCATTGGAAATATGGGCATGACTTTTCAGTTATACTACGTTTATTTTCCAGATACGTCGGTCTGCCTCGAAATGGCAGACTTTTCATCTTCATTCCTACTTTATTATTTAAATGAACAACCAGAGGAAACTTATTGGGCCAATGATCAGAAACGGAAGTGTTTTGGGCTAAACAGAAGAGAACTGCTAGACTGCAAGCTAGTTCACCGTGGTGAGCTGTGAATGGTGAAGAAACGCATTTCATTCAGTGGCAAGCTTTGAAGTCATCCACCTCTACAGTACAAGTACAGGTATAAGGACAGCACCAGAATTATATAACCAAATGTCGCTATTTCTGTTTTATGCCAGAAGTTCCTGAAACAGATATAGATCTAGATCTAGGTATTTTCGCAGTACACCACACTCTCATGAGTTCACATTAACATCATGATCATACCAATCTTTCTTTTCTTAGTCTGAGACAGACTTAGTAAAACAACACATGTGACAGTTAGTTGGCGTTGGTGAAACATGTAAAAGCTACCGTGAGCACCCAGCATACATCTGTGATTGGCCCAAATATAGATGACGTATTTCAGCCATCTATTTTTGTCGTCTTCCCCCTTCTCTCGCCAGTTGACTAGATCTCGCCATGGCGGGCCCGCTTTGCCGCATGGGCTACGCCACTAGACCTAGATCTAGATCTAAGTTTCATCGCCGACTGCTTAGGCTGCTGTGTGCGTACGTGTGTGTGTGTGCGTTCTGTACCTCCTCTTTTCCTCCCCAAACAAAGTTGTACACACATTCAGTACACAGTCGGCAATGAAACCAACCTCGCGTTGTCGCCCAGTAACGTAGCCCATCGCGCGCTGAGTGGCAAAGCGGGCCCGCCATGGCGAGATCTTGTCTACTGGCTAGGGAAACTGCGGAACACCACAAAAATAGATGGCGGCATTACGTCATCCATATTTTAGCCAATCACAGATTTGTGCAAGATGCCGCTGTAGCTTCATATGTGTTGGTGAATTGTATGGGATTATTATTGAAATATATAGTCAGTAGTAGATCTAGAATCTAGATCTAGTAGTAGCCTCTATAGCAGTGGATATAATAATGAAAATAATAGTGATAATCTTTCTCGATGATGAGATGTTCATGTGCTGATAAACTTCCCTAATATCTAAAATCTCACTCATATCAAGCTGCTTGTGTAAATAAAATGGAAGAGGCTAGCCGTACTTAATGACGGCTAGACTGGCAGTCTAGCCTCGCAGTCTAGCCGTATTTATTCTTAATATGATGGCTAGACTGACCTATTTACAAAAGATAGGCCTACTGAATTGTAAATATACATTTTTAGTGTGCAATACCTAAAGTATTAGTATTTGAGATGAAACCAGGGGCCTTAATGAAAGTGCATGTATTTTAAACCTCCTGTTTTCTAATGTTAATAGGGCCTAAGATAAGTACGGCTAGACTGGCAGTCTAGCCGTACTTAAGTACGGGTAGACAGCAAGGCTAGCCGTACTTAAGGACGGCTAGACTGTCAGGCTAGCCGTACTTAATATTGATGGCTGAATTGTAAATGAAATTTTTAGTTTGCAATGCCTAAAGTATTTGTATTTCAGACAAAACCAAAAGGTGCCTTACTGACTTGCATGTATTTGAACCTGAATAATTACTAGATCTAGATCTAGATCTAATGAGACCTGTGTACTTAACAGGCTTGAGTCGATTGGGCCAAACCTAGATCTAAGTACGGCTAGCCACTTCGAAATAAAATTGTTTGCCAGTTGATAAAAGTATATGGTATTTTTAAAAGGTAGCGTCAATTGCCACCGAGTGACGCGGTGGCAATTGACAAAAATTGACTTTTTGTCAATTGCCACCGTGTGAAGCGGTGTCAAGTCTGAAAACAACACTATCTTTAGCATTGTACATAATGTGTGTCTAATGGGTCAATTTGTTCTCAATAATTTCATTGGACGAGCATCTAGTCTAAAGCTACGATACCGTACCAACTTGGCGTGTTTACAATGAGACGTAGGCCTAGATCTAGGCTAGCCTTAGCCTACACTTTGATGTAGAACCAAGGAGTTTAGAACTACTTTTAATCTCCTTGTGTAAAACCAACACATGCAATTCTAGAAGTAGAAGGTCACAAACGCACACAAACTCAAGCAGAAATTCACGTTATATCGGGGAACATAAATCGAGGGACGGGGGTCAGGAAAAGAAACACACACACACACACACACACACACACGCGCACACACACACACACAGGGACAGAGAGGCGAACGCACAACACCGAGCACTCGAGCACAATAAGCTTGATCTACCCACCAATGCAAAAGAGCTCCAATTTACTCGGTGGCAATTGACAAAAAGTCAATTTTTGTCAATTGCCACTGCGTCACTCGGTGGCAATTGACACTACCTTTTTAAAAATATTGTTAGGTGCGTTCCCATCGATTGCTGCGCTTTTTTAGATCAGTGGATCGCGCAGTGCTTTTTGTGGATCCATAGAATGCACAACTATCGATTGGTGCGTGTTCTATAGATGGCATTCGTCTCGTTAATTTTAACTCCCGCATTTGTCGATCTTACTCTTACAATCTAGTTGGTACCAGATTAACGTCTATTTCATATATTGTTGACATTGCACCAGTGTTAAGGGTTGCTGGCAGATTTAATTTTCTCACAATTGGCCAGATTTTTCTCAAAAAGGGTCAGTTCCATGATTGGAACTGATACATTGAAGTGAATTTAATTGTCTTCAAATTATTTACTGCGAACGACAAATTATATTTTGACAAAGTCATTTTACTGATTTCAAAATGATTTCATTCTATGGATCTACATAGCGCTGCGCGATACATCGATCTACAGAATGCTCAACAATTTATTGATGGTTGCGCATTCCATGGGTCCATAAAATGCGTTGCGCGATCTACAAATCGACAGAATGCGCCTCATTATCACTTAGCAAGTGGCTATCTACTTCTAGATTTTTCGGGGCCAAACAGTTTGAATTTGGGGGTTTTTTTGTGAATGTTTGTGTGTGTGTGATGGCATTTATTTTCTGACCCTGCCATTTTTAAAAAGGAAAATATAGGCCCCGGCCCCATGGTTGATAGGTACTCTTGCTTGGTTTTCTCCTTCTAAGCGCCTCAACTCTTGTTGCTGAAATTTTAGTGGTCATGCACAAAGTCTGCTGCTTCCTTAAAGAGGATTAACTCATCTCTATTTTCTTTCAATAGATGAACTCAAAAAAAGCAAAGCGGCTGGAGTCAAAGAAGAAAAAAGCTGCTGCTTTTCTTGAACTAGTGGGACACAAAAGAACACATGACGATTCACAGGTCTCTGGTGTCGAGAAATTAGATGAACAGAACATGGATTCTTCTACAAAAAATGTAAGTGTTGCAATACTTCATTATATATATATGAAATGTTAGACTTAAAATTGGAAATGTGTGCTAATTCTGAATAGTTACGTGTATTATATTGTTTTATATATTGTCGTTTCAATTTTCAGCATGATTTAACTATGTAAAACTACATTTAAAAATAATTATAATAGCTTTAGTACATTAAGTAGAAATTAGCTAAATAATTTTTAGTTCAAAAAGTGTCTTTGAGGTCCTAAAAAATATTGAGAGGGTGTTTCCTTGTGCTTTTTTGGGTTCTTTGTGTAGTCCACAATGATAATTAACCTTTTTAAATTGATAAATTTGGGTCTGGCACCTGTTGCGGGAATGCTTGTCTATCTAGATCTGGTCAGACAGTATTTTTTTCCCTCTTAAACGTTCCCACAAAAGGCTGTGGAAACTATGCGTAGGCTGTAGAGTTGCAAAGCTTCATTGTTCGGGAAGTTTTAGTGAAAGGACGAAGTGCTGCCATCTGCTTATCTTATTATGTATCTAACCTCAAGCATGTTTATTATCTGTTGTCAGCTTGTAAAAGCTGTTTATTTTATTTCTGTTACATGTGTAAAATCACACAGAAGACAGATGAAGAGGAAATAGTGAGTACTCTTTGTGCATGTAAGCATTTTATTATGCCATCTTTCAAAAGAGTGGAACTATTTAGCATAGTGAAATTTGATATATCAAAAAATTATCCTAGAGAAAACATAGATGCGAAATAGTGTATGTTAAAAAAAATCCCATTCAAGTTTCGTCACATAATTTCTGTGAAAATTAGGTTTTGATTAATGGATTTGATTGCTCTCGTACCTTCAATATGATTCTTTAAAACATGTGATCTCACCATTAGTCAGACGCTGCGCTTTTTAGTTTTTAGTTTTAGTAAGTGTTTTACGGCACTTGCAACACAATAAGGTCATATAAGTGCCGAAGATTAGAGGTGTTACAAGAGAGTAACAAACACAAAAAAGAAGGAGGGAAGATAAAGACGATAGATGTTTGATAGGAAAGAAGAAGCAAACCACACCAGAGCACCCGCCAACCACCCACCACTTGGAATTCTGTGCCCCACCTGCTTAAAGAGTTCTCCTTGCTGAAGGAAATGTAACATGTTTTATGAATTCACATAGCAAGATGGTGAGGCTGCTTTTTTAAAGGTATTGTCCAACAGATGCTCTTGACGAAGGAAGTTTTGTTGTATGTTTATGATTTTTCTGTTGTTTTCAGTTATTTTTGGTGTTATTTTCTGAACGTCAAAAAAATGAATCTTTGATCTGTACTGATCCTCAGGAAAGTTCACATACCAATGAAAGTCAAGGGGAGGATGTTCTTCAAGAGATGAAAAAGATCATGAGAGAACGGAAAAAGCAAGCAATGGTAAGGGTGTATAAAAGGAATAATTTTATTTCTTGGAAGCGGACAAAATGATTTTCATCTTCGATTTTATTCAGAAATTTCATGTACGGTGTTGGTAATAATCAAATTAATACAGTGGAAACCATATATAACAGGCCCGGTAATAACAGGGATCCGGTAATAACAGGGATTTAAAAAATCCCCGTTTTTTCCTACTCTTTGTCTCTATTAAAGTTATCGGCAATAACAGGGCCTCATCGGAGCCCAACCGGTTATAGCAGGGACAAAGGCTCTTTAACAAAGTGTAAAAAGTAAGAGAGAGAGAGAGAGAATAACACAGTGATGGAGCAAGCCCACGCAAGCCATGCCACTGCAAGCACACGCAGCCTGTGAAGCGAGTGATGGCTGCGGTGTGCCACAGACTTCAATCTGGCCCGAAACCTGGCAACACGCACGCATAATGTGTCACCAACAATGTCAAGCGCAAGAGAAAATGCCTTTCAATTGACAAAAATGTGATAATCCAGGCTGTTGGCAAAAGCAAGTTCGACTGGCAGGAGATTTGTCGTCAGTTTGACATTCCACAAGGGTTGATTCACACCATTATCAAGGATAGAGAGAAGATCTGCATCGAAAGAAGATGAGACTACCCGATGCAGATATTGTGGACCAAGCTCTTCTGATGTGGTTTAAGGAGGCAAGGAGAAAGTGAGTGCCAAAACCCATGTTCGTGGCTACTTGTGGCAATGGCAACTACACGTGAATAAGTACAGCTGGATTAGTCCGCAAATGCTTACTTTCCTTGCATTTCTGATTTAACAGGGATCGGATATGACAGGACTTTTTCTCTACTCCCACCATCCCTGTTATATCAGGTTTCCACTGTATTGAAAAACTCATGAACTTTTTTAAAAAAAATACTGTAATGCTCCTTGGTTGGCAAGATAGATAAGGGGATACTATGTTTTCATTTCTGGGTCTTTTTTTAAAGAAAATGTAGGCCTCCAACTTTAAAGCCATTTCTAGAATTGGCGAGTGAAACTGGTGTAATGTGCCATTGTTCCTTTTCTGCTAGAAGTCAGAAAGGCCTTGACTAAGTGCACTGCTCGGCGAATGAAACTGGAGAGTCCTTCGTTGTCAGAACTGCCAGATAGGCCTCCCTCATCAAAAAAAAAAAAAGAAGAAAGAAAGACTTTCTCAGTCTCACAACCACCTTCTTTTATTTCCTCTATATCTCCCTCTTTAATCATCATATCCAAAACTCTGAGCGCTCTATCCAGATGTTTTCTGTTTTTAAGAATGCTCCATGTTTTTCTTCTCATGCTTGTTAACTTATATAGTCAAGCCTGCTCTAACAGTCACCTGTCCAAGGCAATCACCTGTGTAATTGACGTCTCCCCCCCCCCCCTTGTATTTTTTAAAAATATTATAATGACCCTGTCCAAGGTGTTTACCTGTCTAAGTCAACCACTTTTTTCCTTCAACAATTAATTACACCCGTCTTGGGCAATTTCTACTGTATTTACTCAGCAAAAGCCCAAGGTGTTCCTTACTCTAGAGGATATGGTTCCTTTCCGTCCTGTGCCTGGTGAGCCCCTTGAGCCTGATGTGATACCACCTCTGTTTGTCATGGACCTTCAACAGTTGCTGCTGTATGGGGCACAGGGAAACGTTGCCAGCTTTAAACCAAGGTTTGTTTGTTTGTTTGAGGTGTAGAGAAGCTCACAAGGCCATCTTGTTTGTGTTGTGTTCAGAAAATAAAAGATGACTAACTTACTCTATCACAGGAGGATAAAGACTACTCAACATACACACTTGACACGTACCCACCTTTCCTTTTCCATCCCAAGCATATTATGTTGGCTCCCGATTAACACTTGGGTAAAAGGAGACCAGTTTGTGCATAATGCTTTTGCCATTTAATGGTAGAATGCTGTTTGTAGCTCTGACAGTAATCCGGCCCTTTCCGTCTGGATCGCTGGTAAGCAGCTGAAGCAGGAGACTGAATTTCTGCTTCTTCAGAGTAATAAACGTTAAAATCTGTTTGTTTATCTGATACCTTTTGAGAGCATTGTTTGAACCCTCTAAGAAAATACCTTCATTTGGGAGTCTAAACTACATATTTTTCATAACATGAAACTTGTATTTTTGTTGTCTTTTCTAGATGGTGTAAACTTCTGAGAGTAGCAAAAGTATCATCAATTGTTGTTATCCTTGTTGATGGAATAGGCTATTCAGACTACTTGGAGAACACCCACTGCTTCCCTTACATCTCAGCTTCATTCCCGCATGTGAGTATATTCAAACAATTTATTGATAATGTATTCCTGATATTTTTTGTCTCTTTTTATTTCCTTATATGACTCAAATGAGGTAGTGCTTGATGAAGCCCTCATGGGACGCTCAATGTTAAAAATAATCAGGAAACGACAAATTCAGTTTTTGGGACACTTGAATAGACATAAGGGTCTTGAACATCTAGCTCTCACTGGCAAAATTGAGGGCAAGCGAGGCAGGGGTAAGCCCAGAACAACATACCTAGGGAACCTAAACAAATGGGTAATAGGGAAAGATCAGGGAAACGTAGCTTTTTTGAGAGCATCCGAGCAAAGGAATGAATGGAAAACCATGATGGCCGATGTCTGTCGCAGATCTGGCTCTGGATGATGATGATGACTTTACTCAGATGGATTTATCAAACTTCCTAAGCTGGCAAGTTTTTGGATAGTGGGCTTTCTTGTGTACTGCATTCCTTTAAGTTCTTTTTTCCTTGTTACTCTTGTCTCAATATTCTTCCTCTCATAATTATCACTGGGATCCACAGGAAATAATTTTTCTTTGACTTTTTATAAATTTGTCATGTTGGACAGGAACTTGAATTTTTTCCCTCCTCTACTTCAAAATTTTCCCAGGCGATGAAGTCATTAAAATGCTGCATATGCTTCGACCTGCTGTGTTGATGATGTCTAGCAAAAATCTTTTAACACTTTCCCTACCGCAAGCCCATGCAGCTCGCGGATGTGGCCTCACTGGACCGAGAGCCGCAAAATATGGCTCAAGTGGCTTGCTATCTATTCCAATCCAGAAATGAAAAGACACGAAAATCTTGGCCAATCCACGTTTTCGAAATAATAGAATAGACTTCCTGTTAGCTGATATGGAAGAAAATATAGCACTGAGAGACAATTTTTAGTAATTTCAGCGCTTTTTTCTGTCCCCTTCGCAATATAAAAATGAAAAGAAAAGTGCTCCCCTGACTTCAGTATATGTCTCATATTTTCACTTCTATAATAGGTACACATACATGACTTTCAGCATTTTTTAGCATTATTTTAGGCAACGTACTTGTGAAGTTTGAATGATGCTGTTGTTATACCTTTTTAGATATGACCTTCCAAAGGTGGAAAATTGTTGATTTCATATGACACCTTCTATATTGCGTAATCACTTTTAGAAATGCCAAACTAATATGATTGGAATAAATCTTCAATATTGTATCACCATCTGATAGATTACTTTTTAACCTTCAGACCTTCAGTTTAATCGGCCATATGATATGGTTTGTGTGTGTTTAGTTGGATGTTTTGACATATTCCTTTGGTGGGGTAGGGGCGTAAAAATAGGTCTGGGAAAAGCCCTGGTGGTGGATTTTGGCCTGGTAGGAAAGAGTAAAGTGTGAGTCGAGTGACAGTTTGTTTTTCTTAGAACTCTGTATTGTTTCCTTTTAATTTATTTTGGATCACAAACTCTTTTGTAATCACGTTTTTCAGTGGTATTGTTCTGCGGTTTGGTAGATTTCTACTCTGGAAATATTAAGGAAGAGGTGTCGCCATTTACGTTTTCTGTTGAAACTTTGTTTCAGCATGCTGAAATGGTTTGCCCCTTGCAATACAACCAGACAGTGGACACAGAGCTCTACAATGTCCCTCTTAGTGTGTCTCAGCTGAAGAAGACAAATAAGAAAGGTATTGTTTAACACTTTATTCTTGGTAATACCCTTATATTTGAGGCATGGTCATGTGAATCATTGCTTCCTTCAATGGCCCTGGCATGCCTGAAATTATCGTAAACATTTTCCATTTAGTAAAAGAAACATGTACACATTAGAGTATGTTTTTAAACCAAACTTAAGTCTCTTGATATTCTTGATTTTAGTATTAAGATTTTGTAAATATGGCCATCTGACATGAAATGTTTATTTTATTTCTTTTCAAACAGTAGCCCATTTTAGCTGGCTTTTCAGCACTGGCCTTTGGTAGATTGTGAAAACTATGATGATTTCACATTCTAATATCCAGTAGGAGATTGCTGTAGGATGAGCTGAAACTTACATTTGTAATTATAATTAACTGATAGAGTCTTCTTAGGTTCCCTAATCTACGTGTGATGGTATAATAACACAGAAAGGCACCACCTTAGAATATGTACTTAGTAGATGACTAATCTACACAAGACTGGAGAGTGCTATTTTTACCATGCATGTTTTTTCATTGGTTCTTATTACAAACTTTAACATCTTTTATTTTAAGCTGTCATTCATGAAGCACACTTCTAGAGACTGTTGTCAAAAGACTGGTTATGTGTTTTTCCTCTCAAACGACTATTTTATCATTATCCATGCTTGACGGTAAGTTTATGAGATTAACCTACACTAGGAAATAGTGTAGCTTGCACATAACGAAATTGGTAGGACGAATGAATACTTTTATTTGACTGAACAAATTTGGCTATGTACGTGTTTTAAATACAAAGAATGTACATCAAAGGGAGAAAAAAAATGGAAATCTGGAGATCTATTTGCCATGTGTTTTTTATTTGTTTTGTGTGTGTTCACTGCATGCATGCTTGACTATACTTTGATTCCTATTTTTTTCTTTCATGGCCACTTTTATTTAATTTCTTTATTATTTTTCCAAATCAGTTCCCCAACGGATCAGAAAGGTTGTTGGTAATAAACTTGCCTTGCCTCCTGCTGAGAAGAAAACCGATGTTCTGTCTCGCAAGTGCCTTTTACTGAGCACGTATCAGATGATGCAGGAAAGCTACCCATTGCCCATTGTGACCCAGCGAGGTACTGTTGAAGGAATGTTTTCCTTTATTCATAAAGATACTTGTTTTGTATGTATTGAGGGTAACGACCATTTGTCTAGACAGTTGCCTGTACAGACGACCACATTCTGCTTCCCCCATAGCGTCTAAGATACTTTTCTCCTCAACAATGGGTTGCCACCTTGGAAAATTTTGACTGTACATAGATAAAATAAGTAATGTTAATTGGCCTGTGATATGATGCTGTGTTGTGTAAAGCCTGTTTCGTTTTAAGCTTTATGAAAGTAAAATGGATTTTGTAGGATTGAGGTATTGTTCAACCAATTTTTTATTACTGAAAACTTATTAAAGGGTTTACTTAGTTGCAAACAAAGCCATGACAATTCACTTTACTTTCTTCATCATAATTATTATAGCTGTTCTTCCATGTGGAAGTTCTACTTCAGGGGCGTGAAACCTATAAATGTCTATATCCACTTGTTCATATTTTAAGAGTGCCAGTGCTGTCATTTTCCTGAACACTAGATTGTTTTGTGTCTGTTTCCTACTGTTATTTTAGTCCTTAATGTAATTGGGTGCGATTGAAGTATGAGAGATGGCAGATTCCTGTGTTTATATCGTTTATTTTTTTTCTCCTTAGGTACCTACAGAGATTTTGTCTTCTCCAAAGAGAAATACAAGAAAGTAACTGAAAACAGCCCATTGCTTGCTCTTGATTGTGAAATGGTAAATATTTGTTTGGTCTCATTTGATACTGCAGTTACTTTTGTTTTTAGCAATGTTACGTCAGATTTTTAAAAAAGAAATACAGTCGAACCTGCCATGACGGCCACCTCTAAAATACGGCCACCTGTACAAACGGCCGCTTTCCATTTCCCCCCTTGTGTTTTTACTATTTAATTTCACTGAGTAAAATGGGCACCTGTTCAACGTGGCCACCATATTTTAACACACAACCCCTATCACACCAAACAATAACAGCTGTCTTAGACGGCCTTATAAGTGACTCCTTTACATTTTGCCATAAATCGTGTATTGGCCCCTGGCGTTGTAGGCGAGCCATCATATTCCAATCTCCTGTCCTTGTTGTTAGGTAGTTTCTTCAACCGATCATGTTGCGTAGGCCCCTCCCGCTGTTGACCAATAGGTAACAATAAATTTCCAACTGCTGGTGAGGTAACCGTGGGATCCCTCATCACCCATAAGCCCCACCCAGAACTCATACACAAACCGTAAGTGAGATGAGGGGGTCACTGTTTACCCAGTCTATAACAAGGTAACAATGGACGTCAACGTGGACTTGCGACAGAAGTGTCGCTCGTTCTCTGGGTCAAGTGGGGGCGACCCATGTGTTTGTTTTTAACGTGGCGCTCTTGGTCTTACTCGTCTGACACATTTTGTTTTATTGTCACCCTTGCACAAAATGGGGAACAAAGTAAAAAAGGCAAACAGAAAAACACAAAAAAACCAAACCAACAAAAACAACAACAACAACAACAACGCTGCTATCTTCGGTTTGGACCTCAGAAGGAAATGGTTTGTTTTCTTGATCTTTATCAGTCCTGCCTAAGACAGCCACCTGTCTTATACAGCCACTTTTTTCCTTGACAACGGGTGGCTGTCTTACACAGGTTCGACTGTTTTGTTGAGAGATATTTTGGATAAGAAATTTGGCAGTGCTTTGTTTGTAACCTTGTTGTTGTTGTGGTTTTTTTAATGGTTTTCAAATACGGTACTTGATTTATGCTGAGAAGGCAATAGTTTGTCAATGCCTGAACCATGAGAAATAAAATTCAAAGCAAGAAAGAAATGATTGTCTCAAGTCATGTACTTTCTGTGTCATGCCTGTTTTTTTATTTTTCTGTTTGAAGTTTGTCATAATTTGTTTTCTTTTCTCCTGCTTAACTCAGTGTTTGACAACAGCCAGGAGGAATGAACTGACCAGAGTTTCTATTGTCTCAGAGACTGGGGAAGTTATCTACGACTCACTTGTGAAACCATACAGACAGATTATCAACTACTTGACCAGGTAAATTGAAAACATATTTGAATTTTCCAAGAGAAAATGAAGCATATAAAATGGTCAACGTTTGTTTAGTCTTATTTAATACTGCTTTAGGCTGTTTGCAACCACCAGAGTGATATTGTTTTCTTTTTAAATGATTTTGTTTGGTTTTTACTATTTTTTTTAAAGCTTGGAAGTTGAGAAAGGAGTTTTGAACCATGATCACCTTTGTCTGTTTCAGATTTGGCACAAGTAGAAAAAGAAGAAAATGAGGCTATTTCCTCATTGTTCAATTGAAATTCGGAAGTGAAGAAATAGCTAGCGCATTTCATAGAGTTCGAATTAAACTGGCTATCTGTCATATCATGGCTGTTTTGTCTTCCAGTTTTGCGTTTTAGACCAGCCTCCAAAGAACCTCTTGTTGTCATAAAAATTTAACTTGGTACATGTATACTATTTACTTAAGTCACATTTTCATGTTTCTTGTTGTGTTTGTCATGACTCTGAAAAAAAATTGAAAGTGTACCATTATTATTATTGAAGGGGAGATAAGGACGATAGATGTTTGATAGAAAAGAAGAAGCAAACCACACCAGAGCACCCGCCAACCACCGACATAAGAGTTTTACGGCACTGGCAACACAATTCGGTCATATAAGGGCTGAAGATTAGAGGTGTCACAAGAGAGTAAAAAACACAAAAAGGAAGAAGGAGAAATGAGGACGAAGGATAGATAATGTGACTGTGTTACTGTTAGTCCACTAAAAAAATGTTCAAAGCTCACGTGAAAACCCTTCTTCCATTTTTACAGATACAGTGGTATTACAAAAGAGATTCTTGACCCCGTCACCACCAGGATAGAAGATGTTCAAAGAGATATCAGAGAAATTCTTCCTGCGGATGCCATTTTGTGTGGACAGTCTCTGAATGGAGATCTCATTGCTCTCAAGGTAATAGTTTTTCGTGGTTTTCTTTAGGAGTGCTGTTAACTCCTTTTCTCTGGCAAGTTGCTCTCAAGGGATTTTGGTCCGCGCACTGTGCCGATTGTCCTTCTTTGTTTTAGTAAAGTTTTACGAGGCTAGCAACTGCATAAGGCCAAATGAAAGCAAAGGGGTGGATGTCAACAGAGAATGCCAAATCGGGAATCAGGCTCACGCTGCTCACCTCTCTAGCCTCAACAGCACAAAGTCTGCTTCGACTATCAAGACACCCCAGAAATAGCAGTTCACTATAGAAGTAGAGGAAAAATGACAAAAGTGACGATGAGGAAAGAAAAAGCAGCAGTCCCCCCATGTTTTTCCGGCACGGTATGAGCATGACATTGATAAATCAGCCCATTTACAATTCTACTGTGCATATAAGAACATGTTAATATCCCACCTTTGGAAATGGCCTAAAGACACTTCAGTCAGTAGCACTGACACTTCAGTCAGTAGCACTGCCCTGGGGGGTGAGGAGTGGGGGTGCCGATGATTCACTGGTAGTGGCTCGGTCACATTCCTTTACGGTGAAGATGGTCTCGCTTAATGTTAATTCTTTCACTAGACGAAGAACTATCTAAACAAGTTAATTTCTTTTGATTTAATGACCAAAATTTAGTTATGTGTATGTCATTTTCAGGTTTCGATTAAAAAATGGGCCCTGATATAGTGGGGAAAAAAAACTTTCGGAGATTTTTAAAAAAGTTAAAGAACCTTGATTGGTACAGTGAGAACCGATGCCCCCTCTGGTTCAAATGCAAATATTATTTACGTTTGTGCTGCCTTAATAATGTTTTGTTTAGTACACAGTTTTGATTTTCACAATTTATTTCATGTTTGTGTTTTTCAGATGTTTCATCCCTACGTGATTGACACTAGTGTGATATTCAACATGTCTGGTTCTAGAGGAGTGAAAGCTGGCCTCAGGAAGCTCACACAGTTTTTCTTGGGGTGACTTTTCTTTTCAAATATTATGTTATTGTGACAGTCTCTTGTGTTATTGTGACAGCCTCTTGTCTTAATTTTTTTTTTCTTTTTTTTTCTCCAGTATTTTGAGGTATCTGTAGCATATAAAGTTTAACACTACCATGATCTTTCAGTACCCACTAAAAAACAACTGTAGAAGCGATGATATCCATATGAACAAAACACATGTATTCAAAGGCATACCAGATATGCGTACAGTGCACATGAGAGCGAATTATTAAGGTATATGAGGTACACCCACAGGGCAGGGAATGGGTTAATTGAAAAGGAATGCTTGATTATAGATTGTTGAAATTTTTCTTAAACCAATTAATGTACTATTCTATTCACTTCAGACGGTCCATTCAAACCAGCAGCGATGGTCATTGCTCTGCTGAGGACGCCCTTGCAGCCCTAGATTTGGTCAAGCTCAAGCTTTCCAAAGGTATAATGCCATCTCTTTTAGTGTGCACATAGTCTGAATAAGTATAATCAAGACTAGGAAAACATTGTGAAGGAAGAGCAGCAAAAAATTATACATAAATTTGACACTCACTGCCTTTCCGGAGTCTGCTTATCTGAGTGAAAGATGAGCTTTGAGAAAACTGTTTCAATTACAAAGTGTGTCCGAAAAATTCCAGGACAGGTGTACAAAAGATATTAGATGAAACCAAATAAGTATTTTTTTTGCTTCTCCTGTAAAAGAAATTTCTGCAGGGGCTAGCCGATCTTGTCACAAGGGTGAGGACATTTTTTGTGACACTAGTCCTAGAACTTTTTTGAAACACCTCATGTGTCTCACACAGTAATGAAATCTTTTCTCATGCAATGTAAACAGGAATTGAAAACTGGCAATAATATATTGCTATGATATACACATGTGTCTATGTTTGTGTGGCCTTGATATGCAATGAGTCATGTGAGGCAATAATGATGTATTTGATGAGTAGATATTAATGGTGCCTGCCTTACGTTAGCATAAAAATGCTGTCTAGGAAGCAAATGAATAGTCATGGCATCACTCTTTGAGTAGTGTATCTAATTTATAATACTGTGAAAACGGAGACCAAAACGAACATTTGAAAAAAGAACGTAAAATAGCCACAAGAAGTGAAGGAGACCTCACTGACTTTTTTTGCTAACTATAAGGCCCACAAATCCTCAATTTTAGTTAGGTTTTTTAAAATATTAAAGCTACTGCCGTGGTTTGTTTTTTGTTGACCTGTGATATAAAACAGATGAGCATTAAGCTTATTTTTAAATAACTAAGTGACACTGAGTAAATGCTGGACTTGGCTCATGGTATTAATTTTTTGTGTGCCTTTGTTGCTTTTGAAACTGATAGCACAGAAAAGATTGACTTGGGTCTGTGAATGTGAGTTTCTATAGCTGTTGTATGAATGTTATGATTTGGGTAAAATATATTCAGTTGTCTTCATTCTTTTTCCAAAGGTTTGGAATTTGGAGATGCCACTTTAAATGGCATCTACTTTCCTGACATCAAGACTTATTTCCTTGGTGAAGAGACTAATACAGGAAGAGCTGAAAATGTGGAAACTGACGAGAACAGTTCTCAATCTAGTGCAGACAAAGACCTCAGTACAGCAGATAACAGTGGGCAAGTTGCATCATCAGAACCTGTGAACCAGAAAGACAACGCTGCAACTTCAGAAAAAGCCCCAGCCACGGCTGCAGTGACAGCGCCGGATAGCTCTGAGACTGCATCAGATTCAGAGGATTCTGGCGACGAGGACGATAGCGGGGACCGCACATCGAACCAGGGGGATGCAGCACCTCCTGCAAAGAAAGCCAAGGTGGAGGAAGATTCTAACTCTACATCGGAACCTAATACATCTGCCGGTCACTTTGACTCAACGTCAGAGTTTGTAGAGGAGCAGAAAAAGCTCCTGTTCTCACAGGGGGACAGTGTTCACGTCAACCACAGTTTTTTCCAACTGGTCTATGAAGCAGGGAGGCCAGGTAATTGCATGTCATGTTCGGGGATATAAGTTTTGTCAGCTTATGTTGTATACTGTGATGTAGTAGTAAAGCTTTCCACTGCCGCGCACAGAAGGCGTGAGTTTGTTTCCCCAGTGTGGAAATTTCTGTCGAGTGTCTTGGTCTGTCTGTTGGGAAGCTGTATCCCACTTGGCCCGAGTTGGCCTTGACAGGTAGGACCAATGTAGCCCATCTGCTAAATGACATAAGTTGTGCCAATGGCGATGTAAATTTACAATATATAAAGTCATGTACAATTGACTTTGACATTTTCCCAAAAAGCTTAGTTTCACCATCTCAACATGAGGTTGCTAAACATGCTGTTAGTTTTACAGCTTCATGGAAAAATCAGTTCTATCCTTAGCAAGAAGGAGCACCATATGACATTTATGTAACACAAAAAGAAGTGTAGAGACATATCCTCTAAAAGATGCTTCTGACCACCCTTTGACTTATTTTGTGAGAAAGAAAAAAAGACGAATTGACTTACTACACTCAACGAGATTTTAAAATTTCATGTTGAATATGCGTTCAATTCTGTATGGCACCAAGCATATAGCTAACTAAGCCACTCCTATTGTGGTATCGTAAATTCAAACACGAAGCTTTTATTGTAATGATGCCTTGATTAACTTTCTGTCCTCAGGCGAAGTTTGACTCTGGTAATTTTTACAGCTGTCGAAATGTTGTTTAGTTGAGTGATGGGCACTCTTTGACCTAATATGATGGTGAAGTGAAGGAACTGGGATTTAAAAAAGAACTTTACTTTGTATGAAGAACTGTAATTGTTTTGCAGTTATCGAAGCTGAAATTTTATAACTTGTCTTGCAGCATGCTTGATAGACCGAGAGGCTGTCGCAAGCAAGTACAGCAAAGAACCAGTGGAGACCATCACTGTTTCTAGTGACACCGTGGCAAGAAAGACAGCCAAGAGGCGGGTAACGGACAAGGAGTTTCTGTGGGTGCGTTTTCAAGAGATGCTGGATGTTGGAGGAAAAGAGCAGCTTTCTCAGCAAAAGTGGCAGGTAAGAATGAGCTTCAGTCTATTGTAAGATGGGGGACTAATTGAATGTAGGATCGGGGACCAACCATTTAATGTAGGCTGAATGAATAATGATTTAACGAAGAATGGATGAATAATAATTTAATGTAGGATGGGTGACTAATTGAATGTAGGATTGTTGACAAACAATTTAGTGTGGGATGAATGTCTAATAATTTGATGTAGGATGGGTGGATAACAATTTAATGGGGAATGGATGACTAATAATTTGATGTAGGATGGATGACTAATTTATTGAAGGATTGGTGCCTAACAATTTAATGTAAGATGAATGAATAATGATTAAATGAATAATGGATGAATAATAATTTCATGTAAGATGGATGAATAATAATTTAATGAAGAATGGATGAATAGTTATTCAATGTAGCATGGATGACTAATAATATAATGTAGAATGGGTGACTAACAATGTAATGTAGGATGGATGACTAATGATTTAATGTAGAATGGATGGATAATGATTTAATGTAGAATGGATGACTAATATTGCCAGTGTGCTGAAAAGTTCTTGGGATGTTGCTTGTCAGTTGTTTGAACTATTACAACTCATATATGGTCGCTTTTAAGTACAAGGGGGCTATCCCGAAAAATGCTGTTTTGAGAAAATCGAAGACAAAGTTTTTGCCCCTTGTTCAGTTTCTTTAAAATACAAGGAGCGTTTTCTCTATAACCAAACAAATATACAAACCAATGAAACCAAACTTCTCCTATAAGTAGAGCAAATCCCACTTTTGGTGTAGGTCAAAATTTCTAGAAACCCCTGAAATCTGGGTTAGCCCGCTTGTCCTTAAAAGCAACCATATGCTCTTTGTTTTCTGACGAGCGTTTTGTTAGCTCAGCTGGTATCAATCATGCTGGACTACAAAGTGGATTGCCCTGGTTTGAGTCCCTAACAGGGCGTCCTTATGTGTGGGTCGTTTTGTGGAGCTTCTAAGGCTCTCGAATCATTTGGCTTTGTCCTGTTGGTGAAATCTTAGAAACCTTTGAAGTAGAAATCAGTTTCTTCCTTCATAACGGGACAATAAACCACAACTTACATGGAACTATAACTCTGTATTAATTTGTGTACAGTCAACATCATGTTCTATGAAATTGGATTTAATAAGGCCTTGGGCACTATGAAGAGATTTTTAAACCCTTGACTTGTTGGAGGAGGGGGGGGGGGGGGGGATGGGAGATTCAAGTGTATCAATGGGCAACCTCGTACCCGATGATAAGCTTTGTAGTAGAATCAATCGGCTGTCAATGATGCTACTTTGGCCTTTTTTCCCTCCTGCACAACTTCTAATTTGTCACGTCAAGAGATGTATCTGAAATATGGCTTTTTCTACTTGACTTCATTTAGAAAATGCTTCCTCGTTTTATCACTATTTTCTTATACTGCATGCAACCTTGTACACTGCTAATATTTAAGGTCAGACGACATGAATTTGTTAGATCTGAGGTTCACTCTATAGCCCTTGAAATGCTGAATTCAAAATAATGACATGGCTTACTTGGCTTAGCTGATTTTAGAGCTTGATGGTAGATGGGTGCTCCTTTCCTATCCAAAGTCTGACATCCTTATTTCTCCTTCTTTTTTGTCTTAGCTCGATACTCTGCTTCTTCTTCTTCTCTATCGCATCACACTTGAGGTCCGGTATCTATCATATACTGGACCGTCCTGCTCAGTTCATATGTCAGCCCGTACAGTTTCTTTTGTAGTGTTGATGGGGTTGGCCATGTTTCCTGTCTCAGGGCCTTGTATGTCCTGCAGTGCTGAAGGATGTGTTCAACAATTTGGTCCGTCTCTCCACACTGGCATTTTGGTGATCGTACTAGTTTAAAACATCTGTACACATGTTGTCTCTGTCTTGTGTGTTGTGTTCTTAGTTGCACGATATTCTCCTGTAACATCTCTAATCTTCGATAACCTAATTTTGTTGCAACTGCCGTAAAATTCATACTAAAACTGAACTGATTTTAGAGTGAACAGTTGATAGTGACCTTTTTCCTTTGTCGTCTTTTCTTCTAGAAACAGATGAGAAAACTGGACAACAGAGTATCGAGTGTGATGAGGCACGCAAATCAAGATACACTGGCTGTGGTAGTGATGACCGGACGTCAAGAGGGTAGTCAAATTCAGAACATGGCAACCTTTTTGACCACTACTTGATCCTGGAGACGATTGTACCACCATAGTTTTGTTTTCATACATCTAGGCTCTGAGAGTGGCTTGGCCCATGACAGACTGCCTTTGTTACAGCACATCTGACTTAATTAAGCTACTTGGCTTAGCGCAGGTGTCGCAATTGGTTAGAATTAGCTATTAGTCAGTCTGAAAATTTAATCTGAAACTGAATCTTTAAAAGTTGTATTTAAATGAATTTTGAATTTTGCATGAATGAGAGAAGAAAAAAATTTCTGTCACGCTTTTATCTTTCTTTCTTGAGAGAACATTCGTTTGCATTTTCTTCAAGATTTGAGCGTCATCATCAATTGTGACTGGTTGCAAAATGCGGGCATTGGATGCATATTCAGACTTGAGCGCACAGATCCTTTGAACGTGTACTGATCCAGATTTTGCCTATATTGAATATTTGATATTTTCAGTTGTGAAATTGATAATGCCGAAGGCATCAGTTTGAGATTAAAGCCGAGAATGCAGGTTTTTTTCCAAGACCGCCCATTTTTTCAATATCTTTGTAATGTGTAAGGTATGATTAACTGAAATTTAGATTCTCATGTATAGCCCGTGCAGCAACAGCATTGCTTTATACATGATGTAGTAACATAATCATTGCAGTTTGATGACCCTTTAAAAAAAAAACCCAATAAACTTGCATTTGAAAAGATTCAAAGTTGTAAAGAATAGAGGTTTTTAAAAATAAGTGATTACATGATAAGTTCCTGGTAGGGGAGATATCATGTTTCTATACCTTTGTCTTGCTTTTCTTGTCAAAATGATTGTGAGGATTTATGTTACACAACTATTGCAGCAAATTTGTGAATAAATTTGTATAATAATATATGATACTGATGTTTTACGTTGTCATTTTATAGCTGTTAAAAAGGAGTCAGATTCATTCTAAGTCTTAGTGTGATGTATTTAGTCATTTATGTCTTTTTTCTGTATTACTATAACATTCTCTTTTTCCGTGATACTTAGGCAAAGGTTTACTTATGAGGTCATCCTTCTTAAAATTACATTAAAAACCATCTTTCATCCATGATAGCACAGCTGCCCCCATGTTGATCTCAAAGAGAGTGAGAACCCGGATGTGTGCAGTAGGTCAATGAAGTTCTGAATGGAGACCGACCTGAACTAGACTTTTGCTGTAATAACCATACATTTTGTGTGTCGCAAAAGATGTGAACACTGGAAGCACATGCACCCATTGTTCATGAAGAATGTGAACTAAAAAGAGTTTGTAAATCTAAATGAACGATGATTGCTGTATAATTTTTTTTCCCACCTTTTTTAGTTTGAGCTTAATACATGACTTAATGATTGGAGATCTCCTGACCAGTGTCTGTGGGTGCGACTTCCGTGTAGGAGTTATTTTATCGAGTACTTCTGTGTGTCATATTCTATTCAGCCCAGGAAGAGTGGAAATAGCCTGCCTCCTTAATGATCAAAATTGAGTCAATAGGGGCATAAAATTATTATGTACATTCATTGGGTGGGTGGGAGGATTTCGTGCCGTCATCTGTTGTGTATCTTCTAGGTCCTACAAATAGATACAAATTTTATGTGTTCCTGCCACGTGTATTACACAGAAGACTCACAAAAGAACAGGGCAGTGTTCCTTCACCATCCCCACCCTCCTGCCTCTGCTGATAGGGTCAAACTGATCGTAATCCATTTCAGCATATCTAGCACAAATTATAAATAAAATGTGTAAAAATTTCAAGGACAGTGACAATTTCTTTTCCAGAAAACATTTTAATGAATTGGACGAATGAATGTGAGGAAAAAAAAATTCTGTGAATTTACAAAAACATGATCACATGGCAATTGAAGACAGCTCTACGGTAGATGGTATGATGCACAGATACATACACACCACCAACCAACAATGTTCACATCTTAGAAAACTATTTTAAAGTCCCGTTCTCACTTTCAGAAAAGAACTTTTCTAAACACAATACAATCATTTTTTACTTTAAAGAATTTTTTTACAAAATTGAGTTGAAAACTTTTACAGTATCTCTTGTGATCAATGAGCTTACTCAGTAATAAATGAAATAAAATACAGAAAATGAAAATAAAATAATAAATAACACTTTTTCCTGCAATAATATACATACAGTGGAATATGGCAAACTTGGACAAATGGAGGCTATTTTGATAACACAGATTCCAAAAACTGAGGTCTCGGTCTTGCTTTTTACGAGTCTAGATGTAAGATAGTAAAATGTTACTCAAATTTCTTTTCAGTGAAACTTGGAATAATTTTTCCTTCGAGAGGATGATAAAAACCATGTGAAAACGGAATGATTTGACCGAGCTCTTCCATTAACCTTGCCCACTGATACAGTCATGTTGAAAACAGAGCCAACTCTTGAACATACGAGTAGAGATGTAAACAAATGGGACTAGAAAGATGACTGCAGAGGTATAGTGGAAATTAATTTGGAACCAGAAAGGGGCACACAGGTGAGAGTACATGTTCTTCCATATGAATGAAAAACCTAATAAATGCAAATCTGGATCAAACCAATCTTAAAAATTAAAACACCCTTAATATTGGCCTTTTCAGTACTAAACTATGATAGAAGGTTTCTTAACTCTATCCGTACACCCTGGGGTCATTTTGTACCTCCGGGGTTGTATTCTTCACATTTTAGAAATCTTCTTGTACAAAGCTCTTTGAAACTTTCAGTATTTCTCAAAAAATCATTTTGACAGACAGCTATGCAAAGCGTACGGATCGGATTAACGAGTAAATTTCCTCTTTGGAAAGTGGTGGCACAGAGTTCCCCACGTTCACGTCGTACAGATACGGTAGTAAAACATGACGTACGGATAGGGTTAACTTTCTATCATAGTTTAGTACTGAAAATGTCAATATTCAAGGAGCAGGTGTAAATATTATAGAGATTCCACAAGTTGAAAGAAAGATGTTTCAGCTGTTATACATTTTTTTCTTTAGATTGGTGTAACAATACCTGATATTGGCAAATACTAGGTTTTCAGTTCAAATGACAATGTTTGTACCCGCCAGATATATCTTCATGGTCATAAAACAATTGCCCAAGTCATTTCTTTCTAGTCACTGCTATGGTTAAAATGCCTGCTACTTGTTTTGTCTCTTAAATACCACAGTGCTCTGTTTTGCATACTGAAAACCCAATTAAATATGAGAGACATTTACATTTTTGCTTAAGTCATAAAATTGACTTTGGTAAGCACAGTTTTTGTAAGTTTTCTCACAACAGCATATTGATTTTAGATTTTAACCGAGACCATAAGCAAATGAACTATGAGGTGGATCCTGAGAAAAAGGGGGGAGCAACTATGGACAAGTACCATTTATGAGGCCACCAACCTTGCAGATAAATAGACAGACCAAAAAAAAAAATTACTTGAGCATAATGATACGACCCTGATGGTAGTACTGAAAAGCACGAAGTGATTCCGGGGAAAGGAACAGGGTTAGAAAAAAAAAAGGACACACACAATAAGGACACATAGAGGAGGAGTAGGTCACATTATCCACAGTCCTGTGTCTCTGCATAAAATTTACAGTAAGCCTGAGCTGAGTTGAAGTAGTGTCAACCGAACAAGAAAACCACTGCTGAAAAAGAAAAGCATCTAGGTTTTCAATCAAACAATAGAACATGATCAATACTTGGTGAAAGAAAACTACACATTTTGATTGTGATTATCATTGAATCTGACCATAATGGAATACTTGAACTAACGCTCAAACTTTGAACCACATCACAGGGTCCCGACAAGTTTGAACTACATCGTGCATTCGAGCTTGACTTCCAAGCTTACTTGCATCACAAAAAAACAAATGGAAACTGGCACACTACAATTAACAAAGGGTGACTGTGACTGTGAGCAACCTTCAACTATGAACCAGAACCTGATTTGTACCCTTGACAAAGCCTCTGATTAAATAAAGTAACTACATCAACTTGTAAATACCAGGACACGCACACAAACAAGACTTTTTCTTACATACGGTATATATGCAAAGAAGAAGCGTATAAAAAATTTAAACCAGGATTTCGAACTTGCGCGGATGAGCACCCAGTACGGTGAACATACACCGTCAAACCTATTGCGGAATTACAGGGAGCAAGAACAAATAATTCCGATAAGGAAATGGGAAGGGTGAGGTGGTTACTAAGAATCAAGGGTTTTTGTATACATTAAACCATACAACAAAATCAGTTCAATTTATTCTTCCTTTAAAAAAAACAACAATACTCAATAAATATTTGAATTTAGATATATATAATAACAGCATTACTATTAACAGCCCTTCATTGACTCATTTGATTCGTGGACCTTTTACTTTCACTAACAAAACTTACTAGATTAAAAAGAGTTCATATGAAATATCTAACCGCCAGCAACACTAACACAGAACTCACTCAAAAACCTATTTTGATTTTATAATTACAATTGAAGTGATATAATTGGAAACAAACACTCCAGGCCCAGGTTAGTCGTCATGACCGAAATGTTCAGTAATATAAGATTTACAAAGTAGAGGTATGAAAAGAAAAGAAAATATACACAAAACATGTCAAATAGCAGAAAAAACAAAAAAAACAAACCAAACCACTTCTAACTGACTTAGGGTAGTTCAGTCATGGCACATTCTATGAAACCAGGCTCTATTCTCTCTGTGCATCACTCTAGAGGAAACAAAAATTTTGTTGAGTATTCTCATGTCTTAATTGAGTGAAACTTACATGTAGGTTGAGCTTTCATATTTCATGATGAGGGATAAAACTTTACTGATCAATCTGACTGATAACAAAGAGGGATTGATGAATGATGTGATAACTGCACATAAGTGAGCGAGTCATTGCACAATGGAAGAGTAAAGTAATGCACCATAACTTCTTTCTCACAAACGTTGTTTTGGATCCAGTTCTCTTACAAACAGGTGACAAAGAACAAATGAAGTTAAATGCACGATTACGATATCATACTACAACTTTCAGGTATCTAGGCATGTCAGATGTGTGAACACTGAAATGAATTGAAAGGCGAGTTGGGAGAAACATTCCATGAAATGCAGTCTTGAAGATCATAATTAAATCTTACAAATGTAAAAAGCAAACACCTTTACATCTTTGTAAGGTGAACCAACTTGAATGCAACATGAAAGTAGCCTCTGACTTTAATTGCCAATCATGGTACCCACTCCTTCCTGTTGTCTGTCTTTCTAATCATAGTTAAATCTTTCTTTTCCTTCATCTTACAAATGTAAAAAGCAAACACCTTTACATCTTTGTAAGGAGAACCAACTTGAATGCAACGTGAAAGTAGCCTCTGACTTCACACTACCCTAGAGTACCATTCTGTTAAGATTAGATATTGCTCAGACAGTGTCAGTGGAGTAAATGAATGAAAAATTTCAGAAGAAAGCAATACCTCCCCCAACCCCTTAAAAGAAAAAAACCCCAAAAAAAACTACAAAACAACCAAACCCTAAACATTTCAAGAATAACATTCTGAATTAATCAATAAGGACAAAAAAAGGAAAATGTTTGAATATGTCTCTGACTACTACATCTTCATAAATTTTACCACACAACTTACAATGTGTGCACCTATTCAAAACCAGAAGAACAATATAATCAGGAGAAAAGAAAAAAACCCAAACAAACAAAACTGAAAACTAAATCAAGTTCTACTCTGATTACATATATATATATATATATAAATATGAATGTAATTCATTTCAGCTGGGAAGGTGCAATTGGGCTATTTTAACAACAGGTATGTATCTAGCAAGATCACTGCACAATCTGCACCTTTACGGTTGGAATTAAACTGGTGACCAAAATGAATGGTACGATGATGGCACAGAGAAATGTCCACTACAAACCCTACACTATTACTATTACTGTCTTAGATCTTGATATATATGCAAGCCAAAGGATTGGGTTTTCAGTACTTTGCAGAATTTGCAACAGCAAAACTGTGCTCCATGTCTCAATTTACATTCACTTTTTCCGTTTTAGTCTACAATCATCAGTAAGTCAAAAGGGAATTAAATTTAAGCTACTCAACTTTTTTGCTCTTAAAAAATAACCCAAACAATCCAGACCCAGATGAACAATTAAACCCGAAAGTACCATCATGAGCAACGAGTCCACTCAGATGATACGGTTCTCATAAGATTTCATCCGTTCCATGAAACTTTGTAGCAGAAGTTTAACTATCAAAAGGCCATGCACAGTCAAAGTATGTGTACTATGTCTCTTGATGGGCAATACTTTCTCAAAGGTTGCCAGCTATCACCACAAGTGTATTTTTCTGTTGTTGTTTTTTTCAATAACATACATGCATTATAATAAATATACATATTACAAAAGGGGGAAGTAGGGGTGGATGATTCATTGACATTTTGATTTTTACTTTTCTATTATTTCTCCTCTTCCCA